ATGTATGTAACCAATCCTGTAATGTTTGGTCACTTGCTTTGTACCTCCCACTTCTAATTCTATATAGACTAAACTCCTTTGTGATTCAGGGCGGTTGCTTGGGAGGAATTACCCCTGCAACAGTCCACTAATATAAAGATTAAATGTTGCCTTATCTCGTCAGTGCAAAGAATCTTCCTTTTGGTTTGGTTTGGTTTGGTTTGGTTTGGGAAATTTCCCACAACAGTAGTCTCCCCTTTTGGACCAATCCTTGTTGTATTTACCACAAAAAGGAGGATTGGTCCCATTGTATGAAATCGAAGGCAATTTTCACAGAGTGATCGTCCTTACCACCAAGCTTAGATTGGGCTGAAATACAAAGCTAGCTTGAGACTGATAGAACTGTGGGGGACCTGCGGCAGATGAAAAGATAAGAAGTATGAAATATAAATGACCTTTATTTTGAGAATGCGGGGAGAGACACCCCTGATCCCCTGGGGCGTGGCATCCCCCCCCCCTTGGTCAGCAATCTCTCCGTGGAACACGTGGAGTAGAAGCATATAAGTAGTCTAGGTTTGGGGTGGAACCTAAGGGGGCATTGGGGATGCACAAGTAGCTCATTGGTCTTTGTTTGGCGCCATAGGTAAATTTCTAGGGGTGGGGGAGATGGAGCTCCTTGGTTCTGGCTGAGGCTTTTCCAGCTACAGTGTCTGGCTTGGGCCAAAACTCTTTCAGAGACCATATTCATAAGCGAAATAAATTAAACTCACATGCATAAATACCGAATAGTTTCCCTAGTGTAAGAAATGGTAAGAATACATAAAAGTATGTGGTAAACATGATTCCCCATTATATTGCTTTGAAGGCTTATACTGTTTTTATTAATTGGAATGGTTCTATCCTGGGTTGTTTGATTTTATTGCCTGTGATGGTATGAATAGTTATTTTGAAGAAAACAAGACAATATAATAGCTAGTGCTTATATAATATCATCTTATTTTGAAGTCCCATGAAGCTTTTGTTCTTCTGTCTCCATCGGTTTTTATCATGTATCTTATTGGATTTTATTATAGGTGATAGTACAAACAAAAATTTTTTATGGACAATATAATATAATATAATATTATAATATAATATAATATAATAACTAACCATTGTTATAATATAATAACTAACCATTGTTAGTTATTATAATATAATAACTAACCATTGTTATAATATAATAACTAACCATTGTTCGTTTTCTGTTAGTTGGGGGATAATATAATAACTAACCATTGTTCGTTTTCTGTTAGTTGGTTCTGTAATACTTTCATTCTCTTGAATGAATGGTTTTACACTGTTATGTTGTGTTTGATGCTATAATATACGAAGTTATACTCAAATATTTCAAGGAAAGAGACACTATGGTAGCTACTGTTATGTCAGGTTATCTTGTGGTGAAACACTATGTTGCTTAAATTGTTCTGTTCTGACCTGTGTTATTATGTTGTTATGTCCTCTTTTATCTTAATCTCCTTTCTTTTAATTTTTTTAATAAAAAAACTTAACTCCCTATGATATAGTGGGAAGAAACTACCAACTTGCTAGATGTCCCATTATGAGTTTGTGTTCTCTAAAATTGAAGAGTGAATTTTGGTAACAGTAGGGGTTAAGAGCAGAATATATTTATTGAGAGAAAGAAAGCTTCTGTCTGAGAGATAGAAGGGGTTCTGAGTGGGTTGCCAAAGACTGTCTTTTCTTGGGCTTTTTATAGAGTAAAATCATGAGGTAAGGCAGATCTAAAATTGGGGAAAACTGAGAATTTGCAAGGTAGATGGGCATGAGGTAGGACAGAGCTATGTTTAGCCAATAAGATTAATAGTTCAGGCAAAACTGATCATATTGGGAACAAATGGGGAAGCAAACCACATAGCAGACAAGCATTCTTTATGGATCAGTGACTCTTCCCTAGGGATTGGAATGGCTGTAATAACTCAGACCCCAGTATAAAATCCAAGGAAGCAAGAGACCTAAATTTAGGTAGCAAAGGCTTTATTAGACCAGGCCTGGTGACAAGTCTCTGGGAGCCAATTTGGAAACTGCGTGCCAGAGACTGAAGGGAGGACTTTAAAAAGAGGCTGGAGGAAAATGGCGGGGGGGGGGAGAAACAAAGAAACCTGCAGAGCCATCAAACTTGTTGACCCGAGTCTGGAAACTGTACAGCTGTCCACTTAGTTCTGACAACCTCGGGAGCCTTTGGCACCTTTTGAGTTACTCCCATCCTTCAGATAAGAATTATCTGCAATAGCATTTGGAGAAGAAAGTAGAAAGCTAATTATCTCAGGACAGCTCGTTAACACTAACAGGTGGGAAGGGGTCGAAAGTTACAAGAAGCTGAAGCTTAAGCCTTCATAAGGATTTGGAACTTAACCCTTTTGGTGCATTAGGGTTAAGCCACAACATTTTCCTGTAATTTCTTTGAAGCTAAGGCACATTTTATGACAGACCACCGCCAGGTCAGGAAGAGGCCACCAGAAACCCAAAATCTTTATGGCCTAGCCTAGATAGATAGGTAAGGGGAGAGGGGAGGCAATAAGGGGCCATACAGAACAGAAAACGGAGGTTATGTTTTTCTTTCTTTCTGGGGAGGGGGGATCAAGGTCAGGTAAAGGGTTATGCTAATAAGCAAATCTCCCTGCACACAAGCAAGTTACTTCAAACAAGTGTAAATTAGAGGGCCATCCTAGTTTTCTTTAGCTCTTTATCGGAGAATAGAGGCGCCTAACAGTGATTAACAACCCTTGTTAACATAACATAACAACCCCACTTCTGTTACGTAGAGGGCAACAATGGTTAACATATCAATTAGGTAAGGTTTTATAATTCTTTACAGAGGAGAGCATTGCTTAACGTATCAATTAGGTCATCCAAAGGGAAAAGGAAAACACATACATAAGCCGTGTTTCCGGTTTTGTTATAATACACATATAAGGAAGCTATTTTCTTAGAGTACAACAATGGCGACTTCCTGACTTCTCAAAGTGACCCAGACTTTATCCCTCAGGATTATACTTAAGGGTATGGTTGCATTTGTTTTGCTTTCTGTCCTGAGATCTGGCCCACAGCAATAGGTGTGTGTCTCCTCCAAGGTCATCAGACACCTTGTCCTCTGTGCCAGTTTCTTTGAGGGCCTCGCCCTGTCTGACTGCCTACAATATTTCTAACTAGCTCAGCTGCCTGTAACAGTACCGTTTTAGGGCTCCAGGAGGATCAAAATCTCTAGCAGAATTCAAGATTCTAGGGGCTTAGATAAAGAACTTCACTGGGCAACCCATATTTATTTGATTTTCAAATAAGGAAAGAGTGTGTAAAATGGAGTAAACTGAACAGGACCGTGGCAGTGGTTCAAGGATTTTTCCAAGTAACAGATTATGTTAATTTAGGAGAATTATTTTACCCATTAATTTGGGAGAAATATTTTATGTTGTTAGGGGAACTACCTTAGGAGAAAGTATCCAGGTTGACTTTTAGTACAGGAGTGAAACCCTGCAGCTACAGTTTTTATTTAGTTAATTGGAATTAGAGTCTGGCAGTCCTAAGCTGTGACTTTATCCTGTCCTTGCAGGCCTCATGACATCACAGGCCTCAGCAGGGACCAGTGACCCATAGAGTTTCACTATGAGTCCACTGCCCATCTCCAGACAGGAGGTCGAATCCTTGGACAGAGTCACACATTAAACATACAAAGCTAATTGGTTAATTTTAAATCCTACTCAGAGCTGCTTTGTAGTGTTCTCCATCAATTATAGACAGTTAAGTTAGGTGGAAATTAATATACAGTCAAGAGAAAGACTGGGTTCTCAAGGAAGTCAGCAAAAATAAAAACATCAGAATTATGGCTGGAGGTACATCTAAAGGCCAGCCCCTGAGATAGACATGCAATGTCCAGGCCTACGCTGCCTCCCTCAGGGATAAAAGCAATAACTTGAAATTATACTGTGATTAGCACCACTTGGTCTAGAAGTTCAGATAGGCATCAGTTGCTCCGGTGGGTGAGCAGAACATCTAGACCCATCCCTTCCCAAAACATTTCCCTATTTGACCAATATTAGCTAAGCAGCAGTACTTGTAATCCTATGTGTTCATAGTAGTTGTACCCACACGGTGACTTTATCCTATAATTACCCTTACAAAGGGCCTCAGAGGTCACCCTACTTGGGAGCCCCTGCTAAAAATCTAGGAGCTCTAGGATTCTCTCCTCCTTGTTTCCAATAAAGCTCTTATTTCTTTGATTTACGACTTAACTCCTTAGTGTTGTGGAATCACGAACTCAACACGTTTGACATCGTTGTTTTTCCTGTATCAAAATGACTCGTATAAGATGGCTGGCTATGGATGTCCAAAATATAAGTTTAATTTAGCAATTTAGTTTAGCTGCTAAGAATGGAGATATTAGTGTCAGTTAGACCTTGGTTTAAATCTTTGCTCTGCTGTTTTGTGGCTGTGTAACTTTAAGCAAACTACTTAAAAAAGAGCAATGTCTTAGTGCAGTACTTGGAACAAGACAGATGCCTAACAGCAATTATTAACTAAAATGCCCCTGAAAACAATAAAATCGCCAACATGTGTTCATATAATAACTGCAACTATCATTTATTAAAGCTTACCATTTGGGACCCTGTGCTAGCCACTTTCCAAATTCTTTTATACCTAGTAACCCGCTAGGTAACCATAGTCCATCCGATTCCATTTTATAACAGTGAAACAAGATAATTTTCGCATCACTAGGACCAAAGAGAGATTGGAGGCTTAACGAGTGGCTTGGGATTCAACCTTTGTCCAAACCAGCTTTAGAGTAAGGCCTCAAGGACAGGCAAGAGCTGTTCAGAACAGTCTGGCGCTCGGCCTAGACCACCAGGCCTAGGCTCTCAAAAACCCTGGGAGCTAAGTCCTTTGCTGTACTTAGGCAAGGCGCAGGGAGAAGCGAGGCGGGGCGTGAGGCGGGGCTCAACGCAGGGAGCAAGGCGGAGGGCCGTTGCCAGGCAACGCGCCTAGAGACAGGGCGTTGCGTCACTGAGGCGCGACAGTGTCGCCCGTCGAGCCGCTTCCAGCGGCGTTCCTGAGCGGCTGGTGGAGCAGCGTCGCTGCTGCAGGGACCACGATGCCTTGAGCCTGTGGTGAGCTCCGCAGCGCTGTCCTCCCGCCATGTCCTTCGTTAAACTGTCCAGACCCTGGACCCTTGAGTAGAAACCGCGGCCGGGCCTTGGCTTCCAGCCCGGCTTCCCTTTCCGGGCCGCGGTTCAGGGCGCGGGCTGCCGTGGGAGGCCCCGCCGGAGGCACTGTCTCCGTCCGGCGGCTTCACACTAGCCAGGGGCGGCGGTGGGTCCCCCTTTGGGGGTGCTTCTGGGAAGCGGGGAGTCGGGGTGGGAGCCGTAGCTCCTAAGAGCCTAAAACCGCGCTTTGAATATTGCCGCCGGCGCAGTCCGTGGGCCGCAGAATTTAGGGTTGAAACTGCAGGTTGCCGGAGGAGGGACCAGGCGGCGACGCTGGGCCGAGTGCGGGGTGGTTGCCACCCAGCGGGACCCGACCCTCCAGAGGAAAAACCTTTTGCCTGGGGCTCCAGTTCAGAAAGGTCCAGTCGGCCTCCTTAGGCCACTGTATACTGCCAAATTGGCGTAGGCTCCCACTCTTGCCCAGGGCCGTCGCTTGTCAAACTGGCTGCTAACCAGCTCAGATCTGGCTGAGAAAAAACGTTTACTTGTTAATTGCAATTGTAGAGGTTACTGAGGAGAGGAAACTTTGTTATCTTTTGAAACTATTTCTTCCGCTCTTTCTCTTGTGTTACAAAATGTGGATTTACTATTGTTGAAGTTTATCCCCTGCCCCCTTATTAATTAAATGGCAGTGATTATGATTCGCGTCTGTTTTTGCGTTGTCAGGCATGCTATTTCTTCCCTCTAGCAATAACACGTCTAATTGTTTATAATTCCCTCTTCTCCCTTATAAAGAACGATTGCCATTCAGCCCCACCCATTTTTGTTGCCATGAAGTGAACATTTATTCTGGCTGGGCCAGAATAAATTGGGAGCTGCCAATCAGCGAATAATCCAGAATTGGTCACCTTTATATGAAAGGCACCCCTCTGAGAAGTGATGCTTGCATAATTCACAGCTCAAAAGTAGTATGAATTTTTCTTTTTTTATGTTGCTTGGCTTTAGATTGAAAATATTTTCCTCCCGAATATGTATGTATGTTTTTAAAATGTTAATTCTTCGTCATTTGATATCAATGAATTTTATATTTGATCCTTCTTAGTTATTATCCAAACACACACTTCCTTCCCCTTCTTGACCTGAAAAGAATGTCCAAAGAGAAGTTTACAAGTTTAGTGCGTTTTTTCTAAATATTTAAAAAGTGTTTTGTACACACACTAATGCTATTAGAAATCCATCTATTTCCTAATGTACTTCTATGTTAATCTTTTGATACGATTTTTGAAGAACAACCTATTTGTTACACTCTATATCTAACTGTATTAATCTCCTTGATACCTACTCAAGCCGCAGTTTGAGTAAGTAGGGAGTAATAAATACCTTTAAGGACATAGTTGTCGTACTTAACCTGGGTTACTCAAGTTAAAAATTGATAAGAAAGTAGTTAATAATTTCACCTAGACACATTTATATATGTATAAATATATATATTATATATATATATATATTTTTTTTTTTTTTTTTTTGAGAAAGGCTGGTCTTGAACTCTCAACAATCCTCCTGCCTCAGCCTCCCAAGTGCTGGGATTGCAGGCATACCACCACCCCCAGCTATGACACATTGTTTTTATAAGTGAATTTGACACAAAATTTGTTGGAGAATGGATGTTAGAATTTCTAAATACTTGTTAGCTACTTATTCTATAGCACTTGTAGCCTTTTCAATTTTACTTAAATCCTTTTATGAAAAATTACAATTTAAATTTTCAGAGATTTTTTTTTGTGGGGTTTGTTTGCTTGCTTGTTTGGTGGGTTGCCAATTATCCATCAGTGATTGATGTATTTTTATAAGGAATATTTTGACTTTAACAATTCATTTGTTTAAAAAAAAAAAGTGATAACTGTGTTCACCACCCACTGAAAATGTGGCATTTTTGGAATCCTTGATGTTCTTGTAAGTTTTGAAATAACAGTTCTTTATTCAGAAAATCTTTCAAATGTTTTTTTTGAAAACATATTTCTATCTTGCTAGAAAGGACTATGTTCTAGGTGGCACAGTAATTTGAGAGCTGCTAGGGTTTTTTTTGTTTTGTTTTGTTTTGTTTTGTTTTTAGGAAAGCTTTACTGTTTGTCTTTTGCTGGATTTTATGTGGTTTGCAAACTGTTCTATGGGATATACTATTGTTCCATATGATTAATTAATATCAAGTATTTCATGATTTCCATAAACATTAATAATTAGTTTTTATAATTTTACATTTCTTCTTCCGTTAACTTCTCCTACCCTCTGTGTAAGTGCTAATAGATAACTGAACAAATGAGTCAGAAAATTCCAAGCGAATTGTAACCCAAAAGTTGTCAAGAAACTGTTCAAAAGAAAAGAAAAACTAGCTGGTCATGGTGGGTTACGCCTATAATCCCCGAATTCGGGAGGCTGAGGCAGGAGAATCTTTGTGAGTTTGAGACCAGCCTGGGCTACAAAGTGAGCTCAAGTCCAGCCTGAACTGCATAGTGAGAACCTGTCTCAAAAAGCCCATAAAAAGAAAAAAGAAAAGAAAAACTTTGATGGGAGAAAGGGGAAAGGAAAAAATAATATAAACACAAGACAGTTGAGATAGTTATACAGCTGGTTTCTCTTGGTTCATTGAGGGAAAGTTTTGTGCTAGTAATTTTCTGGACAGTGTTTCATGCCTATATCTTGTACTCTGAACAAGTACTGTGAATATAATAATATACAATGTGTTGATTATTGTTACTCCTACTAGCCTGTTTTGAAACTTTTACTGTTATTTCTTATTTTTTTCTATCTAAAATTTTAAAACACAAACCCCCCACCCCATATTTATTCAGGAAACATTATATCCCTATGTAGCTTCCAGAAGAGAATAGACAGCTAAATAGCCTGAGGAAAATCATTTATGGAGAAGAGTGGGCAGATGACAATTGGTGATATGTGCTATGACAGAAAAATGTGTAGTCACCAAAGCAAAACTGAAAAAGTTGTGGCAGGTGACTAAAGGGTGGCATTAACAGGTTGTTTTTGTGAATTTGTACTCTTGGTTTTACTTTATGTTATATACAAGTTGTGTTTTTACATTAGTGATGAATGATAATATTTATCAATATCTTGTTTCCAAAATAAGCTATAAATTTAAGACTCTTCCTTCTGAACCAGGTTGAGAACCACTGTTTCTGCTCTTAAGTAGTCTCTACATAATGTTACCTTTTTTTTTAAATTTTATTTAAGGAGGAAAAAAAAAACAGAAAAAGGGTACAAGTTATACAGAATTTCAGAAAGAATAAACAATGGGAATTCACTAGTTAATAGATTACATATTGTTATCTTAGAAATAGTTGTTCAAGTTACAAAATTAAAGCATATAAAGTGGACTTTCAAACAGTGAGACTGGAAACAGTTTTGTTCAATGATCCAACAAAACTCAGTAATATGATTATCTATCCTATACACTTAAATATATATGCAGTTATATCCTTTAGAGGACTTTCTTTTCCTTTCTTTTGTACAATAACAATTACACATTTTGGGTTTTATTACTCCCACAGTTCTTACTACTTTTTTTTGAAGAGAATAAAACCAAATGTGACATAACAGAACAGAGTCAGTCAAATCAAAAGGATGGACATAATAAGTAATGTAAAAACAAAATACAAGGTGATCAACAATGGTTACCATACTGCCTCTTGCTATCTTAAAAAGAATTGCCTATATCATCAGTTAATAAAATTGAGCAAAAGAGTAAAGAATAAAACCAAAGCATTGAAGACATTACAGGACTTTAAAAGAAGATAATAGTCAAGCAGAATGGGTGTCATAATGAATCTTACTGTCTTCATAGTTGTTGCCTATACTTTTGAACTTGGTACTATCAAGCAGAGCAGAATAGAGAAAAATCAGTCAAAACAAGATAGTGAGGGCAATACAGGGTTTCAAATCAAGTTAATAGGAAATCAAAGTAGGTTACTATAATGTATCCTGCTATTTTTATTTATTTTTCTCTTAATTAAAAAGATAAAAAAGTAAATAATTTAAAAAAGGAGATTGAGATAAAAGAGGGCATAACAACAAAACAGCACAGGTCAAAACATAATCATTTAAGCAAAATAGTGTTTCACCACAATATATCCTGACATAAAAGTAGTTACCATAGTGTCTCTTTCCTTGAAATCTTTGAGTATAACTTCATATACTGTAGCACCAAACATATCAAGACAATGTAAAACCATTCAAGAGAATGACAGTATTACAGGGCATTTAGAACCAACTATCAGAAAATGAACAATGGTTTCTGTATAATCTCCTTGTCTATAAAAGTTTTTGCTTATATTACCACATATAATAAAATCCAATAAGATACAACCTGTTAAGACCGATGGAGACAGAAGAATAAAAGCTTGATGGGACTTCAAAATAAGATGATACTAAATCAGCACTAGCTATTATGATGTCTTGTTTTCTCCAAAATAGCTGTTCCTACCATCCAATCTTCTCTACCTCATTTCTGTTGAGCTCTTTTTCTGCCGTTTGTTGTCAGTTTGTCTTCTTCATTTCTCTTTCTGCTCCATTCATTGTGGCCTCTCTGCCACTGTTTGTGAAGTCTTGGTATTTTCCTTTTTTAGAATATCCTGCAGTAATCTCTGTAGAGTTGAATTGGTGGTTGCATATTCCCTTAGTTCCTCTTTATCCTGGAAGCACCTTGTTTTTCCATCAATTTCCAGGGACAGTTGTGCAGGATATATCAATCTTGGCTGGAGGTTATTATCTTTCAAAGCTTGAATTGTTTCCCCCCACGCTCTTCGTGATTTGATGGTTTGTGCCGAGAAGTCTGGTGTAATTCTGATGGGTGTTCCTTTGTAAGTGATCTGTTTCTTGTCTCTGACGGCTTTTAGTATTCTTTCTTATATTGGATTTCTGGAATTTTGATTATTACATGCCTGGGTGTAGCTCTGTTTGGGTTGTAGGTGGCTGGGGACCTGTATGCCTCATACATCTGAGTATCTTTACCTTTGGCTAAATTAGGGAAATTCTCTTGGATTATTTCTGTGAATAGCTTTTGTAGGCCATCTGTTTGTGTCCATACTTCTTCTTTTATGTTCTTAATTCTTAAGTTATAGATCCTCTTATCATCTTCTAGCCTTTGTATTACTGCTGTTTGTTTTCTTGTTATTTTTAATAAGTTTTTCATTTCATGCTCCCACATTACAAATCTGCCCTCCAGTTCAGATAACCTATCCTTAGTTTCTTTCAAGCTGTTATGCCAGCTTTCGATAGAGTTTTTAGTTTCCTGGTAATCTCTTTGAACCTGCTTCACGTTTTCTATGTTTTCTCTATTTTCTCCATCAAACAATTCTCCCCTTTTGTTCTGTTCTTCCATTCCACCATCTGTTTTTTCTTGGGCGGTGCTTAGCATTTCTCTAACTATTCTACTTATATCTTGCTTTATTTCGTTAAATACTTCTCTTTTGAACTCGTCTATGAGGCTCTGGAGATATTGGTGCCGTGTCTGATATTGCATGTTTTCCGTCCTCATTCTCCTTTGCATTCACCTTTCCTGGATCAGTGTTCTCAGGATTGGGGACTGAGGACCCTTTCTTGTTGCTTTCTCTTCCCATACGTTTTGTTCCTTCCATACAAGCGAATATAGGAGGCCCAGTTTTTTTTTTTTTTTTTTTCTCTTTTTCAGTTACAGTTTGTTTGAATCCGCCGGCTAGGTGTTCCCGCCCACTGCAGTGTACTAGGGAGATACAGACCTGGGCAGCCTCTGCTGGGCCCGCCCCTCCAGGTCAACCTACCAAAGGCTTCACTGCTAGGGTGCACCTCCAGGCACTGGGACCTGGTTTGGGCTAGCCTACTGGGTCTTAGCAGCGTCACCCAGGCCAGGCACTCCCCACCAATCCCACTTGACAGGGGAATATGTGGCTAAAGTTGCGGCAGCATGTTGTTCCAGCAAGTCTGCCCGGTCCCAGTATGTCCTTTGCTGAAGCCTCCTACTCTATGGAAGGGTCCCTGTTCCGCCTGCTCACCGCAGGTCGATGGAGGTCTCCCTGCCAGTCCTGTTCTCAACTCTGTTTGCCGATTCCCACTCAGAGTTTTCATGTGTCTCCCTTCCCTCCCAATTTGGACGCAGCAGTGGTAGTAGGAAATTCAAATCGCGGCTTCCAATGGCGCGGGAACCAGCTTCCAGGCTGCGATTTTATCTGTTCCTGTTATAGCACTGGGATTATTTCCAGTTGCTTTCTCTTAGCTTAGTTCATTCCTGGATCGGCAGGGTATATCTCCCCTTGGTTAGGACTCCTCGTACCGCCCCATTCCTAGATTCTAAGCGGGGTATCTCAGAGAGCCTCCTTAGCTGTTGCTATCTATCCACCATGTTCTCCCGGAAGTCCAGTAATGTAGTTTTCAATTCAAGGAGTCAGTAATGAGGTTTCCTGAATACTAAGTGCAATTATAGGAAAAAAAACTAAAATGTATCCTCACATAATAAAATATCATTTAAAATTAGGTACCACACCAAAACATGCCAAAAGAAACATTTTCTAATGAATAAATCAGCAACCAAGTCTCTATTTCTCTGTCTATCTTTTTGAGATAGGGTTTCACTATGCCATTCAGGTTGGCCCTGAACTCACTTTGTAACCCCAGCTGGCCTCGAACTCACAGCAGTCCTCCTGCCTCATCCTACTAAGTGCTGGGATTACTAGTATGCACTGCCGTACTTGGTCTCAAGACTCCTTTTTAAAATACGGTTTCAGAGAGCAATGGAGGGTGGTCATCCTAAATTAAGCCATCCCAAGTTATGCCACTTTGACACAAGAGTTGTTTTGAGTTACACATATTTTAAAAAGTAGCAATATAAGAAGTACACTCTGCTTTTATTTCTTTTCCCAAAAGCAAGAGGTAAAGTTTCCATATGAGAGCCAGGTATTTAGCTTAGTGACATAAGGGCCTACCTGGCAAGCATAAGGTCAATGAGTTCAATCCCCAGTACCAAAAAAAAAAAAAAAAAAAAAAAAAAACCCTTCCACATGGAAGGAAGACATTCTTAGAGCTAAGCAGTTGAGGCCAAGAAGAATTGGTACAAACCTTCCTCAAGTAATTTCTTTTTTTTTTTTTTTTTTTTTTTTTTTTTGGTCGTTTTTTGAGGCAGTTTCATTATATGGTTCAGGCTGGCCTTGAGCTTACTTCGTAGTTCAGGCTGGCCTCGAACCCATGGCAATCTTCCTGTCTCAGGTGTGTGCCACCGCGTCCAGCTTCCTTAAGTAATTCTTATTTTCCTAGTCACTTTTCCAAACCTCATCTAGTCATGTTTTCACAATTTATTACTGTTTGTTCAAGCTAGCTCTCAGGCCTGCCTCCTTTTGTCTTATTTTTCTTGTGAGGACATCCATGTACTATGTATGTAAAAATATGAAATTAAATCTCTCTGCTTTTGTCTTCTACTAAGGCTTAGGTCCCACTGGAACTCTAAGAGAATAGGAGAGAAATTTTACCTTTCCTACATATATTGATTAGATTTTCATTATATGTTTGCATTAAATATTGAGATTGTATTTCTACAATTTGATTTTTTTCTTTGTAAACTATTGTGGTGTACTTCAGTCTGATTGATAAGAATCTTACTGGGGAAAAATATTTTTACTGGATTTTGATTGAGTTGATACAGGAAAGTTGAAGAAGCTTAACTTTAATTTGGGAAGTAAAATAGGTTAGAGATTAACTACTTCCCACTCAGGCAAAAAATTTGATTCCACTCTCAAGATGAACCTTTTAAACATTTCCAGGGGCTGGGGATTTAGCTCAGTGCTTCAAGTACCTGCTTGGTAAGTGCAAGGTCAGAAGTTTGATCCTGGGTACCAAAAAAAAAAAAAAAAAAATCGTATATCAATGAGAGAGAATCTGTGCACATTACAACATCCCTCTCTACTTCTAGATGGTAAGGCATTCTTACATTAAACTGAAAGCCGCCTAACTTACATTATTGACCGTTCTGTTCTTTGTAACATGGAACATGGGTCTTACTTCTTCTTCCACATGACAGCTCCTCAAATATTTGAACACATTATGTTGTACAGTGCTGTCATCAAGCTATGCTATCTTAGAATGAATCATTTTGTTTCCTTTCCAGACACATGAACAACAAAATTTTTTAGCTGATAAACTTATATCATGAGCCAGTATATCATAGTGGTTAAGAATGTGAGCACTATACTATATGAAAAATAGGAATTCAAAGTTTATTTCAACCCCTTACTGTATTTTTCATGAGCTACTTAGTTCTATTTCCTTATCTGTAAAATAAAGATATCTGTTTCTTAGGATATTACAGGAAATAAATGACATAATATGGTATATGAAGGCACTTAATTTGACATGTAAGCAGCCAGGAAATGCTCTTAGGAAAATTAACTAAGGTAAACAAACTTTCCATTAAGTACAGTCACTTAAGTGCTTTTGTGTGTGTGTGTGTGTGTGTGTGTGTGTGTGTGAATCATAAGAGTGTGTTTTTTTTTTTTCTTACAGAGGTGAAGAGTAGAATATATTTATTGAGGGAAAGAAAGCTTCTGTCTGAAGACAGACATAAGGGAGTCCTGAGTAGGTTGCCCCAAGAGTTTTTGACTTGGTAAAATTACAGAAATTAGAGGTTCACCATCTTTCCAATATCATAAGTGTATTCCATTTTCATATTTAGCAGTAGGATTTTGAAAACATAGAAGTATAAATCTTTACTTTAAAAATACAGTCATTTAAACAAATCCCATGTTAAATTCATATAAATCTACTGAACTTCCAAATTTTTTCTTTTTTTAAGTGTGGATATATTTCTACTTTTATATTCTATGTAAAAGTAACTTTTATATATATATTTTACAGAAATTATGTGAAGCAACACTTTCTGAATTCTAAAAGACATCATTTCATCATGGGACAGCAAATTTCAGATCAGACGCAACTGGTTATTAACAAGTTACCAGAAAAAGTAGCAAAACATGTAACATTGATTCGAGAAAGTAGCTCCCTAACTTACGAAGAATTTCTTGGGAGAGTAGCTGAACTCAATGATGTGTAAGTCTTTCTTTTTCATTTTATTTTTCCCCTTGAAGTTTGCATTATATGATGGCAGTGTAAGAGGTAACTGAAGTGTTGATTGGTAAGATGAAATGTACCCATTTCCGTGAGTTGGAGTTTGCCATTCACAAGTACAGTGCTCTCTAACAACTGTAAAGTTAGATTTGTACAAAATGTGGCTTCGTAGTGGGAAACAAGAACTAGAAATTGGTACAGCTGAATTATTTTCACTGGGAAACTTTATTTCCTAAGGCTAGTTGTTTTATTTTTAATGGCTTCATTTATTTTGCTATAAGTCACTTCGTTGAATCTGATGTCTTTATTGGTGTTTAGAAAGATATTAGAAATGATAAAAGGAAGCTGCAATGTTTAAATGTCTTTGACCTGATTTAAATTGGTGTTGATAACATGATATTGAATTATCATGCTCTAAAAATGTTATATTTTTGTTAGAATCCTGTGCTTCTCAAAGTTGCTAAAAGAGGACAGGAAAACGTATTTAATATGTCCAATCACATGTTCTACTTGATCAAGCTCCAAATTATGTAAAAAACAAAAACTTTGAAAGAGATAGTTTAAAGTTGCTTAAACAGAACTTAAGAACAAGATATGTTTACACTTTTTTGGGGGGGGTATCAGGAATTGCACTCAGGACCTTGCACTTGCCAGGCAGTTGCTTATGCAGGAGCTAAACCCCCAGCCCTATTTTTATGCTTCATATCTGAGACAATAGTCAAAATCTCATTAAGTGGAAACCAGCTAAGCCGTTTAAGTTTCAGTTTTTTGGACTTGTTTTTCCTAGAGTTTGCTAGATATTTAAAGACAGTTGAGGTACAGATATGACAAAAAAGCTGTGGACTTAAAAAAAACTTGAAAATTAAGTTGTATATCTATGTTTAAAACATTCTCTATCCCTGTATCTTAAGAATGCAGTTATCATGATTATTAGTCATTGCTTGTCTTAAGGTATTTTTCTTCATGTTTCCATCTCTTTCTGAAAACGTTTCTGGAGTCTGGTTTCATAGTTCTGTTGTTTTGTATGACTTCTCATAAAATTAGCGGATGTGATCATCTCTTTTCAGAACGGCTAAAATAGCTGCTGGCCAGGAGAAACATCTTCTCTTTGAGGTACAGCCTGGTTCTGATTCCTCTGCCTTGTGGAAGGTGGTCGTACGGGTGGTCTGTACCAAGGTGAGACTCAGAAAGACTTCCGTTTCAGAGCTTACACTGTTTTCATGGCTAGGACCACATTTATGTAATATTATATAATGGAAATAAACATTAATAATTTGGTGATCTCGAAAACAGAGTTTTGATACAGTTGTTGCCTTCCAGCCAACTATTTGTATCTTGCCAGTTATTTAACTGCTGTATAGCAAAGGTTTTTTGTTTACATGAAATAGTTTAATTTTTTTCCCAGTTTTTGTTTTTGCTACATGTTTGTAGTACATAATGATTACATTCCTTGAGTTCATGTACATAATACATCTTAATTGTTTTTAATCCCCTTTCTTTCTCCTCTCTCCTCCCCTTCCCTTTATCTTTCTTTTTTGCAAAAGATCTATCTCTCTTTTTCCTATTACCTTTTATCTTACTCTTTATATTTTCCAGTTTTGTCACATAAGATAAACCATTGCAAGGGCCAGGAGTATAGCTCAGTGACACAAGCACCTGCCTGGCAACTACAAGTTGGGCTACACAGTGAAACCCTAGCTCAAAAAAGACAAACAAAAAAAATTGTACTTTGCCCTTCTGTATCTACTGTGAGACCTTATCTTGACATTCTGTATTCTGCTGTGATTATCCTTAAATAAAGCTTCATTTATTTTTAAAATAATTTTTAAATGGAATATTTGAGAAGAATAATTTTAGAAAAATTAATAGGTTAATTGAAAAATACATGCTAAGGTGTATTAAGAAACTTGAGGAATTATATATTTTATCATTCTTGTACACAGAGTAAAGCTGTATATTTGGTGCTTGATTCTTTGTTTCTTATACTCCACAGGCAATCCATAATGAGTCCTGTCAGTTTTCTTCTCAAAATATATTTGGAGTCTAGCTAATTCTTACCATCTGCAGTATATTCTACCGTATTCCTAGCTAGTGACCATATCTCAGTAGGCTTGTGCTAGTCACTTCCTAACTGGTCTCCTTGCTTCTGCCAGGTTCTCCATTCCCCATCCTATCTGTCTATTCTCAGCACAACTGGTCTATTCCACATCACAATTTGAAGTGTAAAGCAGATTGGTCATTTTACTTCTTGGTTCGCAGCTCTCCAGTGATCACTAAATACTTGGAATAAAAGCCAAAGCCATTACTGTAACAGCAGAGTTCTGTATATTCTATCACTACCTTACCCTTTAATCTTATCTGCCACTCTTCCCCCTCGTTCTCTTGAAAGCACTGTGGTGGACTCCTTGTACTCCTCACCAGCTACACTTTTGCCTTCATATTAGTCTCTCAAGTGATGGACTTTCCCCCCAGATACCTATATATTACAGATTGCTATATACTTCTTCCAGTTCTTAAATGTCATCTTTAAGGCCTCCCATGTCGCCCATCAGCATTCTTTCTTCCGAATGTCATCTTCTCCATAACCCTGATTTTTATCTAACTTCATTAGTATTGTCTGTCTCTCCTATATATCATATAACTGGCATGAGGGTAGAAATGTTTGTTTTATACACATTGTGTCTTTAGTACCTAGAGCATTGCAGTTCCCCTGCACCATCTACATTGTGGGCACTTTGAAATATTTATTGAATGATCCTATGATTAGACTAGTTGTAGTGTGATAAACTTCGCTATTATTAAACTTTTTTGAATCACTCCATGATTTCTTCTGTATTACGCAGTTCCAGGGATAAACTGGCCCACTTTCCTCAGCTATGAAGGCCTATTCTGTAAGCCTCTATAAGTTCCTATCACCTTTTAATTCTATTGATTTGTTTTCTGTGTAGTTGGTTATTGCGAAGAACATTATATAATTACATCTCTACATAGATCTTGCCTTCCCAAAATTTAATCAACTTTCTGATAGATTGTTGTCTCATTTTCACAACACAGACTCTGATTCATTCTTGAATCTCATTATTTTCTTTCACTGCTTTTAGAAATATTAAGCATAAACAAATTATAACTTATTTTAATTTTAAATATTTAAATGTTACTACTATAGTTTTCTTATTTACACTGTTTGTTTTTGCATGCTGGGGATTGAACCCAGGGCCTTGTGCATGCTAAGCCAATGTTCTCTATGTATCTCTCCTCGCATTCTTCACTGTTTTCTAAGTACTTTCTGACTTCGGCTATTACATTTACTTGATATCCACTTTAATAGATTTTCTGGCTTCTATTCCCACTGCCTTTTGTAGCATCTCTTGTGCTAAAAAGAAGTCTTTCATATCCCTAACCTATCTTTGATTACTTTGAATTCTTCTTCCAAAAATATTTGAGCCTTATCCTACTAGCCTTGGTCATCTCAGAAAACAGTGCATGCCCTACTCCTTAACTAACTGAAGCCATATGAAAGCATTCCTCTGTCACTGTCCTGTATATCTTTTCAATTTTATAAACTTGAAAGGGAGAGTTAGTCTGTAGAGTTACAATCTCTAGGCCATTGATCTCACTTTATACTAAATGAGTTTTTGTTACAGTTCAAAATTCAGTCACTTTTTGTTAGTATTTAATTTTGTTTCTTTAACAGTTTTGGTACAAAGTAGAACTTCAGTATATTCAAGAAAGCCTTCTGTTTTTTCACTTGTAATAGAATGGCATATGGTTATGGGAGTCAGATAAATACCATAATTAAGAAATTCTTTAAGAAATTAAAGTAGAGCCAGGGAGTTAGCTCAGCAGCATAAGCGCTTGCCTGGTAAGCACAAGGTCATGAATTCAATCCCTGGTATCCCCAAAAAATTAAAGTAAAAGAATTGTAAAAACTAATCTCTAAAATCCATTTCTTAACTCTGGGGAAGTCACTTAACCTTATCTCCTAAACAGGATGATGCCTAATCAATCACATGAGACAAATTTGTAGAAGTTTTTTGAATCTTACAAGTGAAGAGTGTTGTTATTCATTTATTTAGTTTTCCTTTTTTAAAGTAATTTACAAATATTGAAAACCTCTTTTTTCTAGTATGTTTGTGTCATCTCTAAATATTGTGTCATCTCTCACCTGGTTTTTATTTCCATTTTCTTTGTATTTTTAGATTAACAAAAGCAGTGGCATTGTAGAAGCATCACGGATCATGAATTTGTACCAGTTCATTCAGCTTTATAAAGACATGACAAGTCAAGCGGCAGAAGTGTTGGCTCAGAGCTGCACCTCTGAGGAGCCCGATGAAAACTCATCTTCTGTAACTTCTTGTCAGGCTAGCCTTTGGATGGGAAGGTATGTGTACATAATGGCCATGTTTCTCTGATTTTCCAATATATAGACCACTGAGAGCTCATTCATATTTTTGCTGGTATTCCTATTGACACCCTAAATCTTTTTGTCTCAGTTGGTATCAAGTCAAACTGATCAAGTTTTGGGTGAATTCATTCTTCTATTTATTTTATAGTGCAAACTAAATTAAGTGACTCATACCAGGTAATGTTTCTGTCAATACAGTCTCCAGGAATCTACTCTTACACTCTTTATAATTGTATTTAATGCAAAAAAGATATTAATGACTTTCTTTTAATAGATATCTATGTTCTTAGATACTCAAAGCCCTGAAGGAATTACATTCAAGGATTTGGCAAAATTATTCTAGAAAGTGTTTAACTGTAAAATTAATTTTTTTTTTTTTTTTTTTTTTTTTTGTCTTGTTCTTTTTTATCGGTACCAGGGATTGAACTCAGGACCGCCTGCTTGCAAGGCAGGTCCTTATGCCGCTGAGCTAAATCCCAGCCCCTAAAATTAAAATTTTTAAAATCTTGGCTATAGGACTTGGCAGTCCATTCTTTTGTCTCTCTATTATGTTTTTTAACATGTGAAAGCTCCCACCTGTTACCATTTGACAGTCATGACCATAATTTAAATTTGTAAATTCTTGTTTGAAAAAACATGTACAAACACACTGATATCCTGCCTTATTGTCATTCTGGGTAGACAGTAGAAATCTATGTTGGTAGTGTCTTTTATTGTAAAGTTAAAGTGTTCCACAAGAATTTCTAAAGAGAAATTTTATTTATAGTTGCATTTCTTTATTTTATTTACAGTTGCATTTTCTGGTCCATTCTTAACCATCTGGTTTCAAAATGCTATGTAGTAGTTGAATTATATTTTTCATTTATTATTTCCTGTTTATCTTTAGTATAGTTTTAAAAATGTGGGCTATATGAGTGCTAGTGACATGACAAATGATGTTGTAGGCAGTGTTGAGGCTTCCCTTTGTTTTACTTTGTAAAGTTGATCTTTCAAAGGCCAGAATCTGATTTTCTGCATTGTTCTTTTTCTTTTTTTTTCCGAGGGGAGGGTCCTGGGGATGGAACTTAACAACTTCACACTTGTCAAATAGGTACTTGTACTACTGATCTATATCCCCAGCCCTATCTGCTTTTTACTTTTCCCTTTTCAGAATGGTGAATTTTTAAAAGTATTTTTAAAACTAGGAATTGTGTTTACCCATATATATATAAACCACATGGTTGCAAATAAAAATAATACTTCTTTTTGCATCGTCTTTATGAAAGAGGTTAAAGTGTTACCCATTTTCCTGTGCCCTTGAGCCTGAAACTCAATACCTAAATGGTTAGTTAAGTCTGCATGTTTAGTTTGTATGTTTTTAATTTATAGTGATACGCTGATGCACTAGTTGACAGAAAAAGACTTTGCAAATTGAAGGAACTCTTAAGAGGTCTTTAAGTACTAGAGCTTTATATATGATGTATAATTTGATTAATGATTTGCATTTATTGAGTACCTATAGGACATTAGAATTGGGGTATTAATACATGTAAAAAGTTATTAAATTCTCTCAATGACCTCATGCAAGTTCAATTATTGACCCATATAAGATGAAGTAGCAGGTTTAGACAAATAAATACCATTATTAGAAATCAGCCTAGCTAATTTCAGACCTGTCAGTATAGAAATGCTATAATGTCTTATCACTTTCTGACATGTTATGGTTTAGATCTAAAGTATCCCCCCAAAGTGAATTAATCCATTGGTGAATTTATGGCTGAATGTGCTACTGGGAGGTAAGGTCTGATTGAGGTGGAACACTGAAGCCATTAGCTTAATACAAGAAAGGTGTATTCTTGTCCCCAGCTCTTCCCTTCTCTCTCTACTTTCTATCTGCCATGAGGTGAGCACATTTTCTCTGCCATGCCCATCCATCACTGTTTCTGCCTTGGAGCCAGCCAACCATGGACTGAATCCTCTGAATACCATAAGCTAAAATCAGCCTTTCCTCTTTAAGTTGTGAGTGTCAGGTATGATGTCCCAGCAATGGAGAAATGACTAATACATGGAGGTAGAAAAGAACAAGGCCAAATAAGAGTGAAACCTAACAAGGCAAATGTTAAGTCTTGTGGCTCCATGTCTGGCTCTGAATGTGGTGGTGAGATGTGAATTCCAAGGGGTTTGAGTGGTGCTACCCATGAGGTCCTGGCAGTTGCATGCTAATTCTACTCACAGCCTATGGCTTTCCTTGTCACATGGTGACATTCCTGACAGTTCCAACATTGTGGGTTACCCCCTGTACCTTCAACTTCATTCTCACTACTTCATTTACCCATTTCTCAGGGACATATTGCCAGTCTTCTCAGGCTTTCCTTTGAAATCTGGGTGGAAACTTCCATGACCCCACAGCTCTTGCATTCTGATTGTGTAAACAACCAGCATCATATGGACAATGCCTGCCGAGACCTGCGGCAGCACAAGTAATACTCAGGCCCTCTTGGATCATAGCTATAGTGACCTCCATATACCTGGATGCCACAGCTCAGTGAAACAAATTCTGGGGAACCAATACCCTGGATAACCCGTCTTGAGAAGCAGGCCCAGGCCAAATGAAAGGTTTATACATTTGGTTTATACATTCGGCCTATAATTGGTGGGTTCCTGCTGGTTTCTGAGATGGCTCCAAGACATCTTTCTTCTTGCCCTGTTAAAAGTATGTGGAAATCACAAAGTTATGTGGCTCTGAGTTTACGTGTGGTTCTTTTGGGGCCAAATGTTAAGTTTTCAAATTCTTCTCGGCTTTTTGCTTCCAGTTCTTATTATAATGACTAAAAGCAGCCTGCAGTATGTATGCCACACCCTCAGTGTTGGAGCTGCCTTGAAATTTCCTTTGACAGAACAGTTAGTTCATATCTTGAAACTCAGTGTCCCTCAAAATCTTAGGACATAGACACAATATTGACAGATTTTTTCCAGTAACATGTATAACTTCTAAACCAATTACCAGTAGAGTCCTTGTTCCCAGTTGAAACCTCATGAGCCTGGCCTTCCCTGTACTCATTTATACTATCATTCTGGTCATTAAAGCTCTGACCAGAGTCACTCATCAGGCTCTGCTTTCAGCATGCTAGGGGTTCTCTAGTCTACATCTCCAGCCTTTCCCTGGATACCTCCAGCTATCTCCAAAAACTCCTGAACCACATGGCCAAGTGTAGTCGTAACAACACTACTCAGGTACCAGTGTTCTGTATTAGTTAGCTTCTCATTGCTGTGACCAGAGTGCCCAGTACACACCACCTAAAGAAAGAAGGTTCTATTTGATTCAGTTTCGGAGGGTTCAATCTGTAGTTGGCTGGCAGGAACACAGTGGTAGAAGGGCATGACAGAGCAGGAGGATAGTACCTAGCCAGAAATCTCTTAGTCTAGTCGGGTTGCCAGTTAAGATTAACTGGAATGCTCTGTCCTCCATTGTGCACTCCCAATCAGTCTCCCTGAAGTACTGTTTCGTGAGGGTTCCCTTTCCCCTCATTAAACACTGGCTCTAGTTTGTTTGTCAGAACAACATCAGATTTACTATTTTGGCATTCAGGGATCAGATTGTCTCTAGTCTTTTCTTTCTGTCTCCTACTCCTCCCAGCAGCCTGTCATTCTCCTGGTTACATTTATACAATCAGATACACACACTTTCCCTCCCTACCTCTGTGACTGTTTATGCACCTGGAATGCCCTGTCTAACAAACTTCTGTCATTTTTCTGTCTCATCTTTCCAACAAGTTTGAAAAATACTCTCTTTTTTACTTAGCATTTCTATGTGAAATACATATTTGACATTTATATTGTTATATACAGAGGTTAGTGAATTTTAATGTGCTACTGTACTGACTTACTTGCAGTGCTGTAAGTACAGTAAGGAATGAAAAATATATTGACGTAGCCTTTACCCTTAAGACACTTAACAATCTGTAGCTGTACTTTGAAATATTTAGTTTTTGTATAATTACAAAAGTAATAACTGCTTCTAAAAGGAAAACTCTTAAAAATAATGGGAAAGCACAAAATATAAAAGAAATTGAAAATCACTCCAAGAAAGTTATTGATACTCTATGACAAAGACTCTCAAAGCACTATACAATTTTTTACATCATTTGATTGAAATAAACACTAATTTTGGAGACAGAAAGGAAATAGATGTTTTAAGCTGAAGTACTGAGATTAGAGTTTCCGAAACAAAGAAGGTAAGCCGAGGACCAATAAATAACCATGCGCAAAGGCACATGGCTCATAGGGGAACTCTGAATTGTGGCCAGATAAGGTTCAATGTCTCTTTTCCTCCCAGGAAGATAAAAGAGCTCCTTGGGGACAGAGACTTGTCTTCCTAACCCTTTTTGTGTCTCCCATCGGGCCAAATACTAAGCTGTTCATTTTTGAACCCATTATCAGTTTGAGCATTGTAAGGCCGAGATGGTCTATTCTTTAGACCACACAGTATCCTGTATTGTGATAAATTATATTATGTTTACATTCATTTACATAAATTCAGTGTGGTCAAAATAGACTTAGTTATTTTCAGAAAAACCTGAACATTTCCAGCTTCTGTCTGTATTTTGTTTTCTTTAACAATCACAGAACTTACCTTTTATCTAGTCTTTATGAAATTTATGCCTGTTAGTACTTCTTCCTTAATATATTTGCTCTCCCTGAACGATAATAATTTTAGTCTCATGTTAACTTTGCACGTAAGTCATATTATGCTTTATATTGTAGATGTTTAGTAATGTTTCTGAAGACAATGAAAATAAAGTAGAAAGCATGTGGACAGAGACTGTCATTGTTTCAGCTCGGTGGCTTTCGCATTGCAGGGTGAAGCAGCTGACTGATGAGGAGGAGTGTTGCATCTGCATGGATGGACGAGCTGACCTCATCCTGCCTTGTGCTCACAACTTTTGCCAGAAGTGTATTGATAAGTGGTAAGTTATCTGCTGCCTTCAGGGATGAGCCGAAGCCAAATGGGATAGTGCATATGAATAAATTTTGAAAAGTACAAAAATTGCTTTCTTTAGTACTTTGAATTTATGACATGCTATTTTTTTTAATCTTTGTACCTAAAGTTTAAAAGATGTGGAGAACATCAATTAAATTGGTTTTGATACTTTTCTTATAAGGAGATTTGTGCGTGATTTGAATCAAGGATTCAGATTTTTTCTTCTTCTCATTTTTCCATTTATTCTCTGTTTATAAGGAATAAATCCTTGAATATTAGATCGTGGGCCATTGTAGATATTAGCTAGTTAAACTCATTGTGTTACAAAATAAAAACTGAAGGATATACATAATTGACTTACAATAAACTACATATATCTGAGGTACAATTTTATGTACTTATTTACTCACCCATTTATTCACTTATTCATTTGTTTATTTAAGGTACTGAGAACTAAACTCTTAACTTCACGGTGAGGTACATCTTGGCCCTTTTTATTTTGAGACAGGATCTCCCTGAGTTGCTGTGAAGCTTGGGCAGGGGTTAAGCTTTCCACCCTTCTCCCTCCGCCTCCCAGAGTGTTTGAATTACAGGGTGAACTATCATACCAGGCTTGAAGTACATATGAAAGTCATCATAATCAAGATAATAATCAAATCCATTGCCCCCAGAGTTACCCTGTGCCCCATTATAAAGCCTCCTCCAGTGTTTCCCCCCAGTTCTCTGGCAGGTGCTGATTTACTTTCATTTGCTAAAAATAATTTTTATTTTCTAAAATTTTTCAGTTGAAATCATACAGTAAATACTGTTGGGAGAGGGAAATGTCTGGCTCTTCATTCCATATAATTGAGATTCATCCATGTTGTAGATATGGATAAGTTACAAAAGTTCCTGTACAGGCCACTGAACAAGCATATTTTGAGGACGATAAATACTAGAAGTAAAATGGCTAAGTCATGTAGGAGTTGTGTGCTTTAACATTTAAGTCATGCCTTTTAAACTACCACCAGCACTGCAGAAGACATATCTTTGCCTGTATTTGATGCAGTTAGTCTTCTTAATTTTTTAGCCATTCTAATCAGTAGTAGCTCATTGTGGATCTCTCTACTGACAGAAAAAGTTGAACAACTTTCTGTATGTTAATTTACTGTTTATCTTCTTTGAAGATAAAAAGCCTTACCTAAAAACCCTAAAAAGCCCTACCTAAAAACCCTAAAAAGCCCTACCTAAAAGCACATGAGGCTTTAAAGGGACATTGAGATACAGGCCATAACTGACTTCTTACACAGTATATTTTTCCATTTTTAGGTCTTTAATATATCTAAGTAATTTTTATAGTTTTCAGTGTTATATGTTTGTGACCAACTTGTCTCTATGTGTTTCATATTTTTTGTTATTTTCAAATAGGTTTTACTTCAGGTTTTAATCATTTATTACTGGTGTTTAAAAAGTAATAGATTTTTGTACATCAGTCGTGTATCCTACACTGTTATCTGTTAGTTGTTCAGTAGCTATTTAGAGACTCCATAGGATTTTCTTGAATGTTTGGAATTTTTTTTCCTGCTACAAATTTCTAGACTGACAGTATTTTTCTTCTAGTTCTGTAATTATGCTGCTCCACCTCTTCTTGCATACTTTTTTTTATCTTCCTAATATTCCATTGGAGATAATACGTCCTTTTTTTCCTCTGGTTGCTTTAACATTTTTCTATCTTTTCACTGGCTTTAAGTAGTTTGGTATGCTGGTACGCCTTAGAGTTGTTTTTTTATTTTGTTTTTGTTTTCTCATGTCTCTTGTGCTTGAATTAGATTGAGCTCCTTAGATTTGTAAACTTATCATATCATATCAATATTAGAAAATCTTCAGCCTTTATTTTCTCAAAAAATTTTACGGTTTTCTCTCCCTTCTACTTAAAGATTCTCTATGACTGTACATTAGACCACTGGACCTTGTATTTCATACTGAACAGTTGCTATGTCTTTCCAAATTTACTAATCTTTTTCTCTGTAATGTCTAACTTACCATTAGTTCCATTTGGTATAATTTTGTTTACCTTAGATATTTTTGTTTTCCTTTCTACAAGTTTAATTTTTAATATTTTCTATGTCCTATATAATATAATTGATCTTTCCTTTACTCTTGAATATATGAAATATAGTTATAATTTGAATATTCTTATCTGCTAATTGTTTTTTTTGTTTTGTTTTGTTTTTCTTTCCTGCTAATTCTGATATGTGTCTCAGTTCTGGAGTTGTTTTGATTGATTTTCTCTTTATTATTGTATTTTATTGTATTTTAAATTGTATTTTTCTGCTATTTCTTTATAACGCTTATAGTTTTTTAAGCTTTTAAAAAATTTTTTTAATTTTTATTTTTTGTGTGCATGCCAGGGAGCAAACTCACAACCTTGTGCTTGTGATCCAGGCGGCACTTAGGCCACTAAGCTAAATCCCTGGCCCCTATTTTTTTAATTTTAAAGAGAATAAAACAAAACACTGTAAAGCAAATCAGACCAGAACAATGCAAGAGATACAGGACTTACAAAAAAGACAACAGGAAATCAGCAATGGCTACACAGTGTCTCTTGTTTTCTTCAAAATAACTGTCCATATCATCACACACAATAAAATCAAACAAAACAAAACAGAGCAAAACGAATCAAACCAAAAGAATGAAAGCATTATAGGACTTCAAATCAAGATAATAGGAAATGAATAATGGCTGCCATAATGTCTCTTGTTTCCTTCAAAATAGCTGTCCATACCATCACACATAATAAAATCAAACAAAACAAAGCAGAATATAACCAATCAAAACAAAAGAATGAAAATATTACAGGACTTCAAAACAAGATAATAGGAAATCAACAATAGTTACCATAAGTCACTTGTTTTCTTCAAAATAGCTGTCCATACCATCAGACACAGTAAAATCTAACAAGATAAGCCTGAATAAAACCAAACCTAACAAAATTATGAAAACAATGCAAGATTTCAAAAAAAGATAAGTGTTTAACAGTGGTTACCACTTTCCCTTTTTAGGAATTTCCTCCCCTATCATACTCATAATATCTATTGTGCTTTTTGGATTCCACTAACTCATTCAGTTTTTTATGCTACAGAGATACTCAGTGTTCACCTATATGAGTCCAAACCATTTCACCCATGAGCATGATCTTCAGTTGCATCCTTTATCTACGGCAGCCTTGAGATTATCTTATTTTATAGCTAAGTAGCTTTCCATTGCGTGAAACTACCATACCATTCAGTGGTTGATGGGCAAGCTACCCCTACTTTTTTCTGGTTTTCTGTCACATGAAACATGGTTTTCTCTCATTTGACTTGCAGTCTGTGGCTTTGCTTTTGAGTTAAATGTGTTTCTTGTTATACAGTGTATTGATGGATCTTGTTTCTTGATTTACTTCCCTGATGTTTCTTTTTATTGGTGAATTGAGGCTGTCTACATAAATGATTACAATCAGTATGCTTTAGTTCATCTCTGCCATGTTATCCTGCTATTGGTCCTCCACTTTTCTTTGTTCAATTGCCTGTCCTTTCTGGCAATCCCTCTCTGCTGCTGTTCCTGGAACAATGATCATCTTTATCTCTCTCTAGAATATCCGTCAGCACTCTCTGTAGGGTTGGCTTGGTGGTCATTAATTCCTTCAGTTGTTCTTTATCATGGAGGTATCTTATTTTTCTATCAATTGTGAAAGATAGTTTTGCAGGATATATCAATCTGGGTTGGAAATTGTTTTCTTTCAGGATTTGAAACACTTCAAACTCTTCTTGACTTGATGGTTTGTGTTGAGAAGTCTGCTGAGATTATGATGATAGGTTTTCCTTTATAGGTGATCTGTTTCTTTTCTCTAATAGCTTTTAGTATTCTGTTCTTGTGCTGAATTTCTGGGATCTTGATTATTATATCAAGTATCAAATCTACATCTGGATGTAGATTTATTTGGTTTATGGCTAGTTGGAGTTCTCTGTGCCTCGCTTATCTGCATGCCAGATCCTTTTCTCATGTTTGGGAAGTTTTCTGCTATTACTTCTATAAATAGTCTTTTATGTCATTTGTGTTGATCCTTGCTTTTTCACTGATACCAGTCATTCTTAAATTATTTTTCTTTGCATCATCTTGCAGCCATTGAATTGTTCTTTCCTAGTTCCTTTTAAAAGATCTTTCCTTTCACAATCACTAGCCGTGATCCTGTCTTTCAAGGTCTCAGAGTCTATCTTTAGTCTCTTTCAATGGGTTTTGCCAGCTTTTGATCAACTTCTTAATTTCCTGGGTATCTTTGAATCTGTTTCATGCATTGTAATTTCTTCCTATATTTTTTCATTCAAGATTTCCATCATTTTCCTGTGCTTCTCTTTTTTTAAATCTATGTCTTCTTTAGATATGTTCAGCAATTCTTTCATTATATGTGATTTCTTCTTTTACCTATAACATTATTTCTGAACTGATTACTTCTAACAGTCTCATGAAATTGTTTCTTTACTTCAGTTGCTATCCTCACAAGAGATTTCCGGTGTGTGACTTCCATTTTCTTCCGTGTCTATACCTCCCAGACTTGTTCTGTGTGAGCCGGAGGTCTGAGAATGCCTTTTGCTCCTTTGTCTTGACATTCTCTTGGGCTCCTCACAAGCTGGTCATAGGGCCCCAGGCACTTCCTGTTTGGCTGCTCTTCTGCAGTGTAGGCAAATGGGCCAGGCACCTGGGTTTCTCTGAACTCCTTCCCAGGGAGGTAGCAGAGCATGGGGGAGGCTTCCCTGATGGCCAGTGGGTGTGTGGTGGTGGGACTGCTTCTTCTCTCAGCCTGTGTACTTACAACAGGACTCCCCTGGTGATGGTAGGCACTCAAGGGTGTGTTTGTCTGATTCTCCCAGGAGGCACTGGCTACCTGAAGGAAGCAAGGTCGCCAGTGTTGGCCTGTGCGTACACAGGTGTACCTAGCTGTTTCTCCCTAGGCATGCTGGTACCTAAGGGAGGCAAGCTTTCCAGTGGCAGTGGCGGGTGCACAGGGGCAGCTCTGGCTATGTCTACCTGCCTGTACTGGCTCTGTGCCGTAGTTTTTTTACTGGATGCCAGATACTGTGAATTTTCCCTTTTTTAGGTACTAGATATTTTTGCATTACTAAAAATGTTCTTGAGGTTTGTTCTGGAATATAGTTAGGTCATTTAGAAACAGTCTGATCTTTTCCCATTAAATGGAACCAGAGCAGTGTTTAATGCTAATTATGCCCTACTAATTATGCTTCACCAGGACTCTTTGGAGTATTCTACATAATCTTTAAGAATTATGAAGTGTTCTGGTCTGGCTGGTAAGAACAGGACGTAGCCCATGCCCTTTGTGAACTTCAGATGCTGTTCCCTCAAATCCTCAGCCTCGTGTTGTTTCCTGCACACACTGCTCTGTATGCTGCCAAAGACAGTGAAGGAGACTTTCTGTAGAGCTCTACAGCTCCCTTGCCGGTTTCTCTTCCCAGTACTCTGCCCTGTACACGGAGCTGCTTGACTTCCCCAGAATGTCAACTGTCTTTTCAATAAAAGCCTGCTAGGTTCTCTGTAAGTTTCCCCTCCCCCACCTCACTGCCCCAGGGACAATAACCTGGGCCAGTTTTAAGAGTTTACTTTCTTTGCTTCCCAGGAAGCTTGTCAGGAATCATTGTCCTTGTTACCTGATGTCTTATGCTTTATATGAAACACAAAATCACACCCACACGCCACACGCAGGCACCGTATGTCTGTACAACTAGCAAGTGGACCCAGGGCTTTTGCACTGAGCTGCATCCCTGCCTTTTTTTTTTTTTAAAAGATAGGCTGTTGCTAAATTGCTTACACTGGGCTTGAATTTGTGATCCTTCTGCCTCAGCCTCCCAGAATGCCAGGATTACAGGCTTACACCACACCCAAATCACTACTTTTTACATTTTGTCTTTTGTTTTTGTTCTTTAAAGGGGAAGATAAATCTCGTCTCTCTTGGCCAGAAGCAAAAGTTGACTATTTTTAAATTGTCATGTTTTCTTCACAGACAAACATACATAAGTATCTTGTAAAATATCTCTGAGGAACCAGAAATAAGCCTGAATAATATATGCCAGCTTTGGCTTTCACTTTTAGCTTTTGGAATAAATTTCTAAAGTTTTGCACAAAAGCCAAAGAGCAGTTGATATAATTTGATTATTTTGATCCCAGGTTTCCCTGAGAGATAAAGAGAAAAATATTTTTCCTTGCATAATGTATTTCTGGCTTCAGTGTTATTTTGAAATTTCCAAAATACTTAACAAGGAAAAAATTCCTTTGGAAAACATGACTTTAATTTAAATGGTCATCTGTATATATTCTTTCCCTACCAGGAAATTATCTGCATATAAACTTCTTATTTTAAACCTTGAGTGCTCCATTTTTAGGGTTGCTTTAAGAAGCCTTCATGGTACTGCTTACCCAGAGGACTTTAAGCATAGTTGCATTGTTGAGAGCCGTGCACCTAGATAGCACTGACGAAAATGACAGGAGCGGCCTTTCCTGCTGCCTCATTGCTTTGCGACTGTCAAGAAATTATTCGTAGCATAATGTCTTCCATTTATTTATTTATGGTACCAGGAATCAAACTCAGGACCGTGCGCTTATCGACAGGCGCTGTGCCACTGAGCTGTATCCCAAGCCCCAGTGTCTTCCATTTACATAACAAAGGAATTTTACACTTTGCACTGTGACCTTATCTCCTATTTGTGAGAGGCAGTTTTCTCTCAGGAAAAGGAATTTTTATTATAAAGAAAAATTTCAACTGTTTGGACACAAGAATATGAATTAATGGCATTGCTTGTAGCAGCAAAAGACAGAAACAAACTAAATATCCTTTTATGGGAGGTTAGTTAAATGAATCATGATATATCTTTATAGTTTATGTTTTTAAAAGCATACACGGCTATAACCTGTGCTGATACAAATGGCCTATGAGATATATGCACATATACACTGGAGGAAGAGAATTTAGGATAGGAATTATTTTTCACTGTATACTTTCATACTGATTATTAAAATCCATGTACATATGTTACTTTTCAATAAAACTTATTTTTAAGAAAGAGTCAGTTTATAATAAACTTTTCTTGTTTTGATTTGCCTAATAGGAGTGACCGACACAGAAACTGCCCTATCTGTCGCCTGCAGATGACTGGAGCAAATGAATCTTGGGTAGTGTCGGACGCACCCACAGAGGACGACATGGCTAACTACATTCTTAACATGGCTGATGAGGCAGGCCAGCCCCACAGGCCATGACCTTGTGGGGAAGAGCTTCTTTTGTTATTGTGAGCTGCAAACAGGATGTGATCATAGAGGAAGAGCAGAGGTATCTTGTGGCACAGATACAGAAAAACTAATTTTTCCCATCTTATTTTTGTTATTCTGATAATGTGTCCCATTTTTAAAATAAACTTTCCGTGTCTTCCATTCACAGTAAACTAAAATTTGCTACTGTTTTAGACTGTATTTTATGTGTTCTAATGTATATTAGAACTAATTGCTCTTGACTCCTTTGCTAGCAAATAACAGCAATATTTCCAGAAGTTTTGGACAAACTACAGATTTTGAGAGCAGGTGTATTCTGGAATCTGTTTAGTTACATCTTAAAAACTGGAGTTTTGAAAAGCTGCAACTATCTGAGAGAAAAATTTTAATGGCTAAAAACATAGACTATGTGAAAGTGCATGTTACTACTTTAGTCTTTCTGCTGGAATCGAAGGAGTATGTATACGCCCTCTTGTGGTTAGCTAATGCTCCTTTAATAATTTTTACTTGAAGTGATCTGATCCACAATTTCCTAACTATGTGACTTCAGCAGTGTGTGTTTTTCAACTACATAGTTTTTACTTTGTCTTTTTTCTTTGTCTTTGTCTTTTTACTTTGTCTTTTTATAGTGAAGACTATAAAGTTGGAACTTTGCCTTATAAATGAATTTCTGCGGGAGAGTCCTCTTGATTGTTCTGGAAATACCTTTCCAAAGCTGAAAAACTGTTTCAAGCAACTTTTGATAATGTTCGTACATCCTAGAGTTTCAGAAGGAAATTTTTCATCACAGTACATACCTTTACACTTACAGATTATGATGAATAATTTTATATTGATTTATGGTGCTTTTATTTTAACTCAAAGGCATCTTTGTGAGGTTTCAAAGTTCTCAAATTTCTTTTCAAATTTCTTAGGTAAAGAAAGGAACTTAGGGTAAGGCTTCTTTGCCATATACATGTAAAATACCTCTTCAAGCCAGCAAATAATTTGGTATCTTATTGTTTCACTCTGTTTCCTTGGAAAGTCTAAAGAAATATAGTAAATGGAATTATGATCTTCAGTAGCACCTCAACCAATTTGTAGATTTTGTGAAGTAAAAATTTTAACATTAAAATTTCAGCATAGAATAAAGCTAGGGCCTGAAGTCTCCTTTAAAACAATTATTTTAACATTCCATGTAAATTTTCTGACCTATTCTTGGTATCTTGCAAATACTACTATTTTTCTAAGTAGCAAAGTATACCAAATTGCTGCTTATTGATGGCGTAAGTTTTGGATGTTAAGATTTTAGTAAGTATGCAAATAAAATCCATTTCAAGAAAAAATGTCTAAAACAACTTTTTTTTTTTTGCCCCCACAACTGAATGTTGATATTCATGCTGAGGGCTGCTAAGTACCAAAAAGTAAAATACTCACTCTTGTTGGTTTATACAAGCAGAGTTCTGTGGACTCTTACTAACCTGGTAGTATGCCTGATGGTTATATAATCTTGAGAAAATCTTTTCCTCATTTGTAACTTCCTCTTTTAGAAACATATTTTCTCTATGGTTTTTGAACTGTTGCAGCAGTAAAATCATCTTTTCTCCCAAGTAAAATCTTAGCACCCTAGCCAGGCGTGGTGGCACATGCCTGTATTCCCAGCACTCAGGAGGCTGAGGCGAGAGGACCACTGTGAGTTCAAGGGCAGCATGAACTACATGGCAAGAGCCTGTCTCGAAAAAAAAAAAAAAGAATTCTTTTTTTTTTGGGTCTTTTTCCTTTTTACCGATACCAGGGATCGAACTCACGACTGCCTGCTTGCAAGGCAGGCGCTTATGCCGCTGAGCTAAATCCCCAGCCCCCCAAAAAAAGAATTCTTAAAACTTACACGTGTGCAGGCATACATCATATTCCATAAGTCATGTTAATACTAATTCCCTTAAATACTCCATTAAATAAATATTAAGTCAACCAGTGAAAATATATAATGCACTGCTGGTATATGGTATATTAGAATTTGATGAGTAATAATTTTGACAGTTTAAAAAATTTGAGGTGGAGGGGTCAAAAGTTTCAGTTCAAGTCAAATTTGCATATTTCTGAATCTCCATTGATTTTTAATATTCTACAGAAAGAATTGTGGGATAAGAGATCCTCTGGGATGTTCTCCAGCTCTAAATATTAAAGTTGTATTTTGGATTAGACTTGCTGTGTTTAATTCAGATTGCCTAATTTCCAAATGTCTCTGAAAGTGAACAATGTTGGTTTACAAGTTTTTGAGCTTTCCAGGTATAGCTAATGACTTGTCCCAGAATCCTTTCCCCTTGGAGAAATTACGGGGTTGAGCCCAATGAGCCCAGTGACTTGATATTGGCACCTTTGTTTCTTACAATATGCACTCCAAGACACTAACTGATGTACTGTGAAATACAAATGTTTTATACTAGCCTTATCAAAGAAATGGACATGGTTCTCTGCTCATGCCGTTAAAACTGGGTGGTAATTCCTTAAATATGAATGATTGGTAGGTTCTACTGTAATACTTAATATAAATGTTGTAAATTTGTTTAATAGATAAAATGTACATGTTTTTCCTACTCTGTACAGTTTTGTCTTTTTTAAATATGAAGTACTTAAATGCACTTACTATGATAGGAAATATGTGTGCCTTCTGGGACTTGTGAAATAGTCTAAGAAATGTGTCCTATAAGTTATACAGTGTTCTCTCTCCTAACTCAGTAACAAAGGGTTTACTAATTATGCTAGAACTTTAGTTTGAGAAGATGAGTTTGTGTACTGAATTTAGAGGTTGACAACAGTATCTGTTTTATTAAGAAACTGATAAATTGTGCAATAAATAATCTTGAGCAAGAAGTATTTGCTGACTTAAAATATTTCTTATGTAATTTCATTTTCATATATACTAAATATTTATATTCCTTAGAGGACTATTTTATATTGTGCTTTGGAGGGTTGTGAAATTTGTGTGCTATGTATTGAGACTAATTTTAAATTGAACTTGATTTCCTTTACCTAATATGTATCTAATGAGAATACTTGGAAAGATCTTTTGGCTCAGTGATTTTAACATTAGGAAGTTGAATTCATTAAAAGGCAGTCTGGAGAATTTGCATTTTTAACTGCTGTGTCTTTGACCTTTCTTGTCTACCAGAAATAAGATAACTACTTGGAGACTGGGGAGATCAGTTGATCACCCACATTTATGATGGGCAACATAATAATACAAATAGTTGACATATAGTTTCATTTATTTTCATTTTTTAAATTTTGGTCCAGTAAAAATAACTGATAAACTATCCTACCTTGTGGTGGTTTGGTGTTTACCTTGTAAAATCATTTTCAGGATATAAGTGTATTTAAAAAGCATCAGAATCATACTGAGAGAAGGGAAGACTTCTAAAAGGAAGAGGTAGCTTATAATTACATTTACTGATGTATATCATGATTATACAGTACTATGGAGAAACTATGATACCAAAGACAAATACCTCAGGTAGATTTGGATAATTCTGTAAGATATGTGTAGTCTGTCATCCTCTACTCTTTGAGACTGAGGGTACAAAACTCCCAATAAACTGTATGTGACTTGTGTTCCTTTTGTGTAGGAGTTCCTTACTCTTTATAATGGTCACAGTTCAGGAATAATCACCAACATATCAGTTTCACTTGTTTTTACAAACCCAAAGAAAGATGATATTGTAAAGAAGCCAGAAGTATGTACTTTCAACTCTGCTTTATTCCAGGAAAACAATAAAGGCCAGAACAGATCTCAGTAAATATCAACCAGAAGCTGAGACTTGTGTTCACCAGGCAGAGTAATGACAGTGACCATTTGTACAATTTGAAGTAACACATAAAGCAAACCGAAGCCCTTTGAACAGGTATGGGTTAGCACTGCTTTAGAAACCCAAGCACGGTTACCACTGCCTTTGATGCCACAGGTGACACAAAGGAGAGCAGGGGTTCACCCCAAAGACCAGTTAGTTAAGTGCAATGATGAAATAAAAATACAAAGTGCTCAAGAAAAAATCTGTCTGGAAAGCTTGTGAGAAGGTAAAATCAACACATACGGACTGAACAGGCTATAATAAAACCCCAGGAAGAAGAAATGAAGATGATGGCTTTGCTGACGGGCTAGTAGCAGGCTGGAAGTAGAGAAAAAGGGAGCAGAGGTTACCTTCTGGGTCTAGTGAGCTTCACTAGTGAATGTCATCCATGTCTCAGTAAAAAAATAAGTTACTGATAACTTTTCATTATGTCCAGTCTTTAAAAAACAAACGTTTCCTTTAAATATTAACTTGAAATAGTTTTAAATTGAGTCACAGTTCTGACGCTTTAATAATTTAAAAAATACTTGATCTAGAAAAAATAATGAAAAACTATACAGTACTTGCTATGTTAGGGCAAATGTATTCAAGTGGAGGAATTTCAAAAATAATCCCTAAGGACTGGCCTTCACAAATTCATAATTAGCTATAAGATAACATATATTTGCCAAGTAAAAAAGGTTACATTGTTCATACACTAAATTGACCACTGGGTGGGCAGGCGTAGTCATAGGACAGGACAATCAAAAATGAAGGAAGCCTATTCCAGACAAAAACTGGCTTCCACTAACTTTATAATGATTCAAAAAGACTCCCTAGAATGAGTTTGCCCACAAATACTTAGAACAACCCTTGAGCAGCTTGTTGAGTAATCGGTGTACATATCCTTAAAAGGTTGCCCAAGGAGAAATTCATTCATTCCATATGCATTTGAGCACCTACTGTGCACTAGGCACTGGGAACAGACTGAAGAGTACACTGATAAAGCTGAACTGCAAATTGATTTTTAAAAATGCCTTCAACCTGGCCCTTGGGACCACTGTATCATCTGCAGAAGTCTCCATCTTAGGTACAGGAGAAATTTTGCCTTTAACAAAATTGTGCTAGGTTTTAAAAAGTTAACATCTCTGAGACCTACTGGACCTAGTTGTAGTCTTAATAGCAGTGAGACCTTGAATAAATTTCACTTTACTAGCCTACCTTTGCATGCGTAAATGGTGATTGGGCTACAAACACAGGCTGTTTATAGCCAAAAGGAACAGAGATCACCTGGTCCTGTGTTTTCAGAGTCCTTGTTTCAAGTCAAAATACTTAGCAGGCCCAATGTAAAACTGATGGAAGCAGAGTCACTTTGACAGCCACCAAAACCTCAGTTTCTTCCCCAACCCTGGAGTGGTACACGAGGGGGTTCACAGTATATTTGAAAACCAGTGCCTGTCCAAACCCTCACATTCAAGACAAGGAGACCAGCACAAAGTAGGGGTGACTATGATCATGAGGACAAAGGGCTTCCTACTAGAACCAAGGAGGGCTAAACAGGTTAAGAAATTCGTAGACAACAAATTGTCAAGAACGGAGTCTTCTATTTTCTCACAAAATAGCCCCTTTATGAAAGGGAGCTTTGAAGGTGATTCTATTTAAGGCATCCAGCCAGCCGGAGGCTGAAATGAACAGTTACCAGTTTGCCTGCAGTGCTATAGAAAGGAGTGTGGCAGAAAATCGTAACACCTCATGGTTTTTGGCATTTGACCACGGAAAAATCCTGGTCCCAACAATTTAGGCACTGGCAGTTAGAAAAGAAATACGTGGAAAATTAGGAACAAGTAGACAAGTGCCAGCTCCCAGATCACCAAGGAGAAGTCACCCAATCCTTTACTCAGAAATACTAACACAAGTGAGCGTGTTCAGTCTTTAAAGTGAACAGTGCGACCAAAATCACAAGTCTGAAAACCTTTCAAAGGTTTCTCTTCATAGAGGAAGCCCTTTGTTTCGTATCTTGACCACTGGCCTGAAAATAAACCAAAACGTTCAGATGGAAGTTGATTGCTGGACCTAGTTGTGCAGGGTTGTGATCTCTTCCGATTTCAAGGCATCAGACAGGAAGCTGAGCTCATTGCATAGAGTCTCATGTCGGAATGCCATCCGGATCTGCGCAACATTCGTCCTCCGAATATCATTTCCCTCAGGTCCTTCTTTATAGTAGTTCTTTCCCAGAAACTTCTGCTTTTCCTGTGGACCAAGAGAAATACCAGTGAAACTACACTTGCAAACCACTTTCTCCATCCCCATCAGCCACAGCACCCATAACAATGCAACATAATTTGTTTCTCCTCAGATTCTTACTCCTTGAAGTTTTCTAGGTAACATATATGAATTTCATACAAAAATCTAAAATATTTGCATTCTTCAGCATATGTGGGTTATCGCTTCCCTGCATCATCATCCACCAGGGCAGCACCTAATGCCACCTCTTCCTATACCAGTGACATCCAAGGCTGCTGCCAGGGACCTGACATAACATCCAGAGCACAGTTCTCAGTGCTGGCTCCACATCCGAGTTTTGCAACGAGCTGCACAAATACAGCTGGTTCCCATGTCCCACGCTGGCGGGTTTTTACCCAATCTAGATGGTGGTTTCTATCCCAGAAGGACTGACCGCCAGCTGTGTGCCAGAACTGTTCTGGGACCAAAGCAGCTAATACAGAGCAAGCCCTGGTCCTTAAGGAAACGCATGTTACAAGGTCAGCGGTGAGAAGGGTTATGAAGAAAAACAAATGAAGAGGATGGAAGACGGTGGCAAGCGTGTGGCTGTCACTCCACGGGGGTCTAGGAAAGAAAGGTGTAGGAGCAGCCATTCGGGAGGCTCCCAAGGATTTGCTCCAAAAGCCTGAGTGTCACTGCACCAGAGACCCCCCCTGTCCTGTTTGTCACAGATCCCCAGTGCCCTGAAGACACCCAGCACACAGCAGGTTTCTCCCCATTTGTTGAGAGGGACAAGGTCAGCCCGTACCACTCCATACCTGATGCGAGAGGCCACTCTGCAGAACGCTGTTCCTCGCGATCTCACACAGGTCGCACGTGCTCAGCTTCCACACTTGCGCAGCGATGGCGTATTCCTCCATGAGTGCTTCCTAGATCCCGCCCCGAGGACCCAGATGAGAAGGCAGTGTCCATGGCAACACTGCGTGTATTTCCAAGACTTAAACCAAAATGCACTGCAGAATCCATCTTTCCTTACAAACTGGAACCTCCCCCATCAACTGAGATCACAGTTTACATTCCAAACTCCTGGGTGGGGTGTGTGTGTGTGTAATTGAAAATCACCAAACAAAATTAAAAGAAATTTGTTGACCAGGAGCGAGCCTATCATGTTTAAAACTCAGGACTGGTCCTCAGGGGACCAGTTCCACTCTTTTGTGACAACCCCTGTTAAAGGGAAAGCTTCCTCGATTAGTAGTTTAATAAGAAGAAAAAAAGGCGACTTATGAAGAGAGAAGCTCCTCCATCCAGAGTGGATTCTTAGCACTACAACCAACAGAGTGACCCACAGTATTTATAGCAAAACAGAAGTGAGGCACAGAAAACAACTTAATTGGCTACAGCTTAGTCAATTGATTACAGCTGAATTAGTTCATGGTTTACAGCTTCATTAGTTAATTGGTTGCAGGGTCCCCTTGTAAGCCACCCGAGCTCAGTTACTATGATTCAAGTTTCTGCTAGTGTGGTTTGTTTGGTGGAGGTGCTCAAACACATCCATGGCCTCCTACAAACTTTGACTTAACACCTCTCTAGTCAGATGCATTTTTTAACACTATCTGTTCTTCAGTTTTGCTTTATCCAATACCATTTTCTTAAGATTGCCCAAAAGTAAAAGTATGAGTAAAATACTCGGTCAAAGTTACTATGAGTAAAGTACTCAGAGCAAAGAGGGACCATTAAAGGAGAATCGACCCTAATACAAGTGGGGAGATAAATCCCAAAAGGGCTAAGTTTGAGCGGTGGGCCTCCTCCATCTTCCCCATGTGAAATAGCTGCCCTTAGTCACCAGCCCTTCTATGATCTCTTCCCCCGCCCACCCTATTGGCTCTGTCTGCTAGACCAGTGCTTTTCGAAGTGTGGTCTGAGGACCTCTGGCAACTAAAGACCTTTTGAAAGGTCCTGGCTTTGCCAACTATGTATCTATGTGATGCAAGGTAATTTTCACGAACTTTGATAAGAACAACAAATTGAATGCAGAAGTGGCTATGGGAATCCAGCTGTCTTCTATTAAGTAAGACATTAATAGATTTGCAAAATTGCAAAACAATGCCACTCTCCTCAGTATTTTTGTTCTGGGAAATAGTTATTTTCCCAAAAAATGCTATTTATATAACAAGCCTATTACTGTTATTTTTAAATGAGTTAATGTTTTAAATATTTTTCATCAGTTTATAGCAATAGATGCAATCCACATACGGCTTTCAGTTCTTCCAGAGAAGAGGTCCAGAGATGAAAAGGCTGGAGAAGCTGTGCCCTAAAAGACTACGGGTGCTTCTATTTTGCTAATCAGTGCCTGGTTTTGTCAGCACTATCAAAATGTGCTAGGCATTTTGTCATGCATTCCTATGCATGACATCAAACTTCCCTTCTTCCCAGAGATCTAAAGTGCAATAATAATCCCAGTACAATAAAAAGGCACCTAAAATTTTGAACATACGCATGTGTTAGACCCTATTCTATTAGAGCTGAATTCACTATCTTAATTTCCCCAGGAAGATAGAGACAATTGTGTGCCCATTTTACAGCTAAAGAGGAATTCAATACAGAGAGGGCAAATAACTTTACCAAGGTTATAGAAGTACTAAATATCAAAGAAAGAGAAACAGAGAAGGACAAAGGAATCCAATTGTGCCTTCAAGGGTTCAAGGAGGCCAAAAAGGACTCACCCCTTGCCTTCACTGTGCCACCAACGCCACCCCAAAAGCCAAGCTGAGCCCTGGACATGGGTCCCTGTGCTGGAAGGGCAAGACTGAAGCAGGCTCACTGGGACACCACGGCCCCTTCCCCGAGTCCTCACCTTTGTGTAATGAAACTGCATGGGGTCGTCGGTAGAGAGGGAGACGTGCAGCCCCTTGTGCAGGAATTCCCGCAGCGGGTTCTTGGAATATTCCAGGAAAAGGCTGTTGTTGCTAAGAGGAGACATGGCAATGGGGACCTGGGCGAGGTAGTAGAGGTACTGCAACACTGGACTCTGCGAAAGAACCGCCACACTCGTGTGACACATGCAGGGAGGGACAGGACACACTTTCACCAGTGGAGCCAGAGCTTGGCCTGGCTCTGAGGTCCCCACAGCCACGACTCCCAAACTCTCACACGCTGTCTTTCCCGCCCTGGACCCGTTTCTCTCCTTCCTATGTCACATGCCAGCCCTGCAGGCCCTGGCTGTTCTCCCTCCATTCCTGGCGCTGAGGGGAGGCATCACAGGGCAGAGGGCAGTGCCTTCCATCAGCACCTTTGCCTCCCCTCCCGGATCCTGACCACCACGCTCAGGCCCCAGATGCCCCACATGGTGGCTTTGCTGCTTTGACCGTAAACCTCTCAACTGGGACAGTAAACATGATAGGCCCTCAGAGATGAACCCCGAAGGCTGGGTAGGGCTGGGCCTGGTCTTATGGTGAACACACACCCCACACCAAAATGCGACATGAGCCTGGACCTGCCTGGTGGCGGGGGAAGCATTGCAAGCAAACTGCACTCCCATGGCAGTGACCCAAAATATGGGAAGCCTGAGTGAGTGCCCAGAGTTCACGGCAGCACACTTACATGGGAAAAGCCAGATGGCTGCCGTGTGTCCACCACTGGGAACTAATGGAGCCAATGATAGACCAAGTGGCCAATGGTTCATCCAAAAGCTTGCAGAATGGGGAGTTTAGGTATTATGTGTAGCACAGAAAAATGCTTGCTATATAATGTCGAAGGACAAAGTAGGAACTGAAATTCCACGTTTATTTTAAGTAGATTAAAATATGTCATGGATAAAAGATAGGAGTTAGAAATACTAAAAAGTAATAGAGCTGATTCTAATAGCAATCAGTTTGATTCATTTATTTTTTTTTCATTTCTCCATTTTTTGGGAAAATCTAGATTGGGATGCGTACGGTTCTATTATTTTCATAATTAAAAATGAAACCAAGATGACTACAGACAGCCCAGTCTAGAACAAAGCCCTGGCTCTGCAGTATCATTGGCCAGAGCTTTCAGGGGCTGGGCAGCAGCCTCAGGGAGGCAGGGAGACCAGGGCAGCACTGCCCAGGGCTAGCAGGCTTCTGTGAGTGGCTGCTTACCTTCTTGAGGAGCAGCCCGTGGGAAATGTTGTCGGCTGTGAGGAAGGCAGACACCAGGTGAGTGATGGAGCCAGCCTCCCCGCAGTGAGGCCGGAACAGGAACGTGCTCAGCCCTCGTTCCCTGGAGGAGGAAGACCGGGTCAGAAGCACCCTGGTTCACCCTCCCGAGGCCCACAGCCAAGCCCAGGGCCCTCTCCAGGAGACAGTTGCCCATGGCACGGCCCCCACACACTTCATTCCTCCTGAAATGCAGAGGCCAACAGACATGACCCCCAGGAGCATCGAGGGACCAATGGTGGAAAGAGAGTCTGGCCTGTTCTCTACTCACTCCTTTCCTCACCAGGCCTTGGGTCCCCAATCAGCGTCTCAGAGCAAGAAATGCTTTGAGAAACCAAGTCCAATTTCTTTGTTACAAAATCGGGCAAACCAAGGCCCAAAGAGTGAAGTGTATGTTCAGACCCACTGAGCAGATCACCGGCAACTAGAACTCTTGCTCTCAAAAGCTCCATCCATGACTGTCACTACCCTAACACTAGGCCTCTCCCCTCTGCCATTGGCCCCATGTAAACAAGGCTCCCGGGGCCCAATAGGGGCAGGTAGGGAGGAGAGGGGAAGACTTATAAAGAGGGGGAGTTCAGTGTGCTGTGGCTCTGGGCATCCAGCCCCTGTGCATGTGTGGCTCTTTCTGTGTGTGGGAGCCTCTACATATAAGACCATCTATGAGGCATCCATGGACAGGCTGTTTTTCTCTCCAGAACCAGCCCAGTGCCTAGGACTGTGTCTGTCACACGGCAGCTGTAATAATCTGTTGAAAGCACAGATGAACGTGTGCACCCTGTTGGAGTGGTGATAGGTGGACATGCAGGTACTGGCATAGCCTATATCTCCACTGTCTCAGAGAGGTACAGGTCCACACAGAGGCGTGTTGGCGATTTACACATATGAACGTGTGTGCTTCATTATACTTATCATCCATGTCCATACTGGCACGAGTGTTGTAGGCATGCCTGCAATCGTGGGACATGTGTGTACACAGACACATGGCTCACAGTGAATGCAGACTCACACGTGGGGCCAGCTCACCCACCTGCGAAGGTTGTTGAGCACCATGATGTTGGCATACATGTAATACAGGTAGTAGCTGTAGGGCGGGTTCTGTTTGCTTGTCCAGTCATTTGGGCTCGGGCTCTTGTCAGAGAACATGTGGTCACTGTGCTTGGACTCATCATCCACACTGTCAAACCCTGTCACCTGGGCAGGAGAGAGGGTTCTGAGCAACAAGGTGAGACAGGAAGCCATCCAGGACTCAGACTCAGCTCAGCACACGGTCGCTCAGAGCTGAGCAGCCTGGGCCTTTTGGGTGTGGCCCGGCATCTAGCTGAGGCCACATCCCTCCCAGGTACCACAGCTCACTCTGTCCCCTCAGAGCCTCTGAGATACCCAGAAGGCTAGGCTGGAGAGTGCCCGGCCCCTGTGTAGCAGAGGTAACCATGGGAGAATTCAGGCTGGAACAGAGAGAGGCAGCCATGTCCACTGCCTATCCCTGTGCTGTGCCCAGGAAGCCAGCACTGCAGGGGACGGTGGCCACTGCCTGCAGCAGCATGGCAAGCTGTGACAGGGAAAGGGACCTATGACATGTGCCTACATACCAGGCGCTCTCGAAGCCCCTCACATGCACTAGCTAAGTGAAAGCTCAGAGCCACTCTGTTGGGGAGAGGTGGCCTGAGAGCTTCATTTTATGGTTGGGCAAACCAGAGCCCAAGTGATCAAGGAAGTCACCTGAGTAGGACACTCAGGCTCCGGGTGGAGGGTACCCTGGGACACCTTCAGGCATGGCTTGGAGACACCTGCTGGATGCCTCACCAATAGACACAGAGTACCCTGGTCGGGTTAAGCCATGGTTCCCACAGGCAGCTCTGCTTCTGTGTAGACCCTCAGGCCTATCAGGGGAGCCTCAGGAAAGTTCCCTTCCAGTGCAGTGAGACCTCAGCTGGGAACCACCCATAACCCTAGAGTCTCCCCAACCTATGGCCTCCAGCTGGGGTCCCAGAGCCTTGTGACTAACCCTAGAGGTAGAGCCTGACCAAGAGTTGCCCACAAGGACAGTTTTCCGCCAGCACCAGAGACTTTGCAAACAGGTTGCCCTCCTCTTGCTCAGCCACAGAAGTGCTTTGGGAAGGGGTCCCTGAACCCCAGACAGCAGAACGAAAGACTGTCCACCTCACCTCACAGCTGACCCAAACTGGGAATGGGGACCCTCAGCCCAGGGCCCAGGCTGGAGCCTGATTTGCCAGCCTCTCAGTTCCTACACAGGTAAGAAGTGCCCCAAAGAGTGAGGAAACATGAGGGTCCTTCCAGAATCTTCCCTGCCACAGAGGCTGTGTTCAAGGAAGCAACAGGGTCCTCACTGTGGCTCTCAGTGGCTCCTTGCTGGGCTGGGGACTGGGAAGACCTCAAGCTCTGACTGCTCACTAGCCAATGTATCACCAGAACACCCTGGGGCCTGGCCCAGGATAAGGCCAGGCCCCCTCCTCAGGTCTAGGCAACTGAGGCAGGGCCTCGCCGACTGCCTCTCTCATGGGCTTCACCTTCCTCCTCTTCCTTTCTTCCTCATCCCCCTCATCCTTTCCCTCCTCCTCCTTCTCCTTTCCTTCTCCCTCTCCCAACCCTGACCAATCTTGCTTTTCCCCATGATGGGTGCAGAATCCACCATCCTGCAAAACCAGGTGCCCACGGCATCCTTGGACTCCTTCAGGCCCTGCCGGGGACGTGTGGAGTCTCCACAGCCCACCACCCCACATGAGAGGCGGTGAATGCATTCCAGGTCTGCCACTTTCTAGCTTTGGGACCTCTCTGTGTAATTTCCCCCAGTGTCAACGTGGAACTCATAAGGATGAAAGGGAACCCTCCCCACAGTCTCGAGGACAATGGTGGCGAAGCTTTCAGAGCTTTCAGTGACATAAACAGCCACTATGGTAGGGCGCTATAGTTCACCACCACTGCTCTGGGACGTACACCACGCAGGACTGCTCTGCTGACTGGAAAGTAGTGACAAAGATGGGGTAACTGTGAGGCTGAAGTGATATCAGGGGGCGTGCACAGCCGGCCAGGCAGCAAGCACTGGCAGACCAAGCTGTTACCAAGGATTCAACACCCACCATGGCCCCAGGGCTGGAGTGTTCCCTGCCTTTCATCCTGCCTCTCTCCCACCACAGATACTCTCTGTCGCTCCAAACCACAGCCCGAGGACACGTGTGGAAGACGTAAATTCAGTCCTATCCTCAGTTTGTCCACGTGCTTTCCCAGCAGCCCCTACACACCCAGAATCAACACTCCCTCTCCCCTGGGTCCTGCCCTGTCGAACATCATCCTGTCCTGAATGATGCTGCCCCTTCTGCTGTCCCCTTTATTCTGGGGATCCAGAGGGAAGGACCACCCTGTCTGTTCATCACTTTCTCCTAAGTTTTTCCCCCTTCCCTTCTCTCCTGTAACTACCCAGACATGGAAGAGAAGGACATTTTGTGGTGCTCATTGTACCAAATCAAACATGGTGGGGGACTTTTGCTCCAGGCGAAAGCAAAGGCAAAGCCTGCATTTCTTGGTGCTGGCTGGGGCAGGATCCACTTCTCCTGACTCTCAGTCCTTAGCCCTTTCTCCCTCCCCAGCTGGGACACACCCATACCATACTCATACCCATACCCATACCCAGAGCTGCCTCTGGGGACAGGGGGGCATCCCCTTCAAGAAAGGCTCTCTTATTTCACAAAGTCAGGATCCTGGCAGCTCCATGCCTGGGGCACAGAAAAGAAGGAACTGAGAAGGGGAGCTATTGTGAGGGACAGGGAGGGAACCTGACCCGACCCCACCGGGAATGTGCACCATCTCTGCCACACTGAGCTTGTCCCAAGTGCCATCATGCTTACATATTTGAGGAAGAGATGAAGCTCCCGGTGGTCTTGGGGGTTGATTGTGGCCTTGAAAAGGGGAAGGAAGATGTTCTCCAGCATCTTCCCAAAGCTTGGCAGCAGCTTCTTTGATCTAAATATGTCACTAAGGGAAGCAGAGACTTGTGTTTATGCGGGCCTTACAGTCCCCCCTTGACCTATCAGAGACTGACCCCAGCCACTTCCTCAGCAGCCTGCACCTGGTTAAGGGCCCAGATTGAAGTCAGACTTGACCTTCCTCCCCTCTCCCAGCACGTTCTGCAATGCCAGGCAGTGGTTGGCAAACTCCATGTCCACCCATCCACATCAGGGTACTATCCCCAGCCAGAGGCCATTCAGAGGTGGAACAACAGGATTCAGCCTGGACAAGTCCGAAAGAGGAGTCCTCAAATTTCCCAGTGGGCTAGACTGCGCCTCTCAGCTCAGTTCCCCTGAACCCCATGCTCAGATTACCTGGAGAGAAAAGGAGTGCTCTGAGAGATGCCAGGGAGACATCAGCAACGTGGGACACTACCAAGTCACCTGGTACCCCAAGGCTCATCCAGACCCTCAATGAGAAGGTAGGGGAGGGGTTCCCCCAAGGCCTTGGTATGCATATATTCTTTGAAGGACAAGAGTATAATTGTCATGAGGACATCTTTGCCTAACACTGGAACAGGCCCCACCCTTCCAAGGTGCAGACACATGCAGGAGCCCAAGCAGACCACGTTGCTATCCCCAGAGGGCCTGGGGCAGTCATCAAGCGCCTCACTCACTAGATCCGGGGCACCTGGATGACCCAGCGCATGTGGGGCGAGTAGACCTTGTGCTGGATGAACCAGCGGGCCAGGTTTTGCCACTCCTCTTGGCTGCGGCCGTAGATGGAGAGCCGTGGCTCTGAGTACTGGTACTTGCTCTCCTCCAGCTCCTGGGCCACCTCCTGGCACCAAGAAGAACCAAAAAAGTCAGCCCAAGATCCCCCAGCAACATTGCAGACCCCTCTCTCAGCCACCTGCTCCCAGCCCAGGAGGTGGATCTAAATCCCTGAGCTGCTGGCTGCCATGCCAGCACTCTCCCTGCAGCCAGGCTCCCCACTGGGAGGGTGCAAGGCTTCCCTCTGCGCTGCCACCTTGCACCATCACCATGCTGCTGCAGAAGCAAGCCAGGCAGTGGCAGCATCTCCACACAGAGCCAGCCTACACCCGGCCAAGTTCAGGCTATGGCAGGGCACAGCCCCAGGATGCTGCAGACTCTTCCAAGAGGGTACCCTCCCCTCCTGCTGCCTGCACTCAGCACACTCTGCACTTGCTTGCCCATGCCCAGCAGCAGGCAGCCAGGGCACTTCAGGACTTGCCTGAGCTGCATGGTGGAGGAGAGGGTCTTGGGGAGGGGCGGAAGCAAGAGGCCATGCAGGGTCCCCACCCTCTAACAACAGACACCTGAAGTGGCCTTAGAGCGACTAAAGAGCTCACTCACCTTGACCATCCGAGCAAAGTACTCTCCTCCCAGGTAGTTTTCAGTTTTTAAATACAGGTCACGCAGCTCACTGGCCCCCACTGGGTTATATTTAGAGTTGAACTTGTCAAAGCGATGGAATGTCTGCCGGTCCTAGAGAAAGGGTCCACCAGCCAGGTCACCACAGGGGTTTGTAACACCACACACATTCTCTTCTCCTGGCCTTACAAGGTGGGCTTTGTGTGGTCACCCTGAAACATGTCTTCCAGGTGGTTTCTTATAATGCAGTCTTGGAAATGCCTGAGGGCCAGAACCATGAATCCTTCCATGGCCAGCCGCAGGGCCTTGGGGTGAGGCGCTCTATGGAGTATCAAGAGTCTAATGCTTCAAGGAGACATGGCAAGGAACATGGCTGACTCAGGACAGTGGACCATTAAGCAACCACCTGTAAATTGTTTACTCTGGCTTTTTAAGACTAAATAATATTGCACTGCTTTCTGCTTAAAGCACGGGAGCTGAAGCTCACTCACCGCGTGGACATCCAGCGAATCCACGGTGAGGTCATAGGGGTCCATGTGCAGGTTGTTGAACACCTGCCTCAGGGTGATCTTCTGGCCTCGCTTCTCAGCCACAGTCCTGTCGGGCTCCGTCTGGTATGTGTGCTGGATGAAACGCAGCAAGTGCTTCTGGTTCATGCAGGCTGCTGCGTGGATGTGTGTGTCCACCTGGAACGCAGTGCCCAGCAGCTTGTGAATAACGCCTCATTCCCTGGCCCCTCCAGCCCCTCCTTCCCCCGATGCCTGAATGCCCTCCCCATGTCTTGTCTAGACTTCAGAACCGGCCCCACTCCCATCAGCCTTGCTGCCCAGTCCACCTCCTGACAGCATCCAGGGACCTTTGCAAAGTGGCTGGTCAGGGCACTCCTATTAGCAAATCATTGAGGTAAAGCAGCCTCAGAGCTCAGTGCGCCTGGGACTTAAGGCTATTTTAGGCCTTGACTCTCACCTTGCCACTGCCCACTGTATCCTCCAACCACTGCAAATCAGTTACCAGCGCTCAGGGCACCAAGCTCTGCTGCACCCTGAAACTTTGTGCATGTATTTCTTCAGCCTGAAATGCCCTCCTTTTGCCCCACCAATCTCTTCCTCATGAAGCCAGACTTGGTACCCTAAACACAACTAATCTCGTCTTTTCCCTTGCCCAGTCTAAGAACCTGGCAGGTACTCACTATTGGGCCCATCCTGCTGCCCACTCTAATATGCTCTATCTACTCCTCCACCATCCTGGGAGCTCCTCAAGGACAGGGACTATGTGTGATGCACCCAGGTCTCCAGCATCCACTCCAGAGACTGGTACCATGTATCATGTGAATCAATGCCTGGATGAGCAAACTAAAGGAACAGGTATAATAGGTTCCAGTAGTTTCAATGAAATCCACACCCTCATGAAACCCTCAGAGCCAAACCCCACTTTTCCCATTGACCTCTTTGGAACCCCCAAAGCATTCTCAAAGCCAAGCCTCTGGTGCAGGGGTGAGTGGAAAGGGCAGCCACATCCTCTCTTCTCAGCCACTTGCACCTCAACCAAGCCCTTGCATCCAAACCCTAGAAGCAGCAGCTCTCCTGACTCTGACCAGCATGTGGGCTCGGCTCTTAGAGCAAGTCCTAACTTGAAGAAAGGCAATGAGAGCTTCAACTACAGCACTCCAGAAAGGGACGAGGAAGGAGCTGCAGGGTCTTAGACTCCATCATAGGACTGCTTACATCTCTATCACGCTGCACTCTATCACGCCATGACACCAAATAGTCCCCTTGCCTCTCTGGCCTTTCCTTTGCAGTCTCCTAGACAGGTTTGTCTTCCCTGCCAGACCTCCCAAATGGTCCCAGGCCCTCTTGTCCTATCACTATACATTCTCTGTTCTGTCTGTGCCCTTCATTTCCTTCTTCACACTAGTTCGCAAATGAATATCATTAGCCCAAAGCTCCAGAACTGCCCACACAGCTGCTATTTGACATCTCCACCTGGGTAACTCAAAGGCAGCTCAAATCTACTATGTCCAAAACTCTCTGACTCCAGCCCAAACCCAACTGTCTGCATCCCAGGGAAAGGTATTCCCCACACCCAGTTCTCGGCAAGGGAGACGAGATTAGTTGTGTTTAGGGTACCAAGTCTGGCTTCATGTGGAAGACATTGGTGGGGCAGAAGGAGGGCATTTCAGGCTGAAGAAATACATGCACAAAGTTTCAGGGTGCAGCAGAGCTTGGTGCCCTGAGCGCTGGTAACTGATTTGCAGTGGTTGGAGGATACAGTGGGGCAGTGGCAAACTCTGGAAAACCAAGAGTCTCCTCCATCTTCCCCTCTTGACTCCCTTGACCCGGGTCAGTCCCATCAACTCCACCTCCCAAACATGTCAAAACCACACAATGGAGCTGGGCTTTTAGCTCAGTGGCCTAAGCGCCTACCTGCAAGCATGAGGTCATGAGTTCGATCCTAGTATCACAAATAAAAAAATAAAAGTAAAAGAAACACAGTTCTTGCCAACCCCACTGTGACTGTGTGAGTTCAAGACTACATGTTCTCACTCCCACAATGACCTCTTGACTATCTTGCTGCTTTGTCTCTTTGATTGGCTCAATCCATTCACCACACATAGAAAGTAGAATGGAATTTTTGTACAACTTGATTCTGTTGCTACATACGCTCATTACTTAGAATGAGGGCCCTGCTGACATCACCCGGTCCTTACCCTCTCCCCATCCTCAACCCCACTCCCCACGGACAGGTAGACATCTGGCTAAGCTGAGAGGCATCATGGATCCCCTTCCATGAGCCCAAGGGGCCTGAGAGAGGACCCTGGGGAGGACAGCAGCCTCTCAGGCCCCGGCACTGTCAGCACCAGCTTGCCCCATGGAGTTAATGCCCTGGCTGACCAGGCCCTCTGCCAGGCCTGGGGTTAGGAGGCACTAACTTCAAGCCAGGGAATGCTGTTCACTGCTGCTTGGGCATCTCAAAGTTGTGCCATACCACACATCTGATCTGTTGGGCCTCTGTGTGTGTTTCCCAGCCAGCCATATGCCTAGGCCAAATTACGCCCTCATGCCCTTCCAGCCATTAATCCTGCCACTCTTACCACAGACTGTCAGCATCAGAGAAATGAAAGAACTCAGAGCATGAAAAACTGAAACATCATCCACGGCACGGTGCCAACGCTCGGGCACCTCTGCCATGAAACTCAGCTCATGCAAGGTGCCCAGGAGAAGCTCAGCCTGGCTCAGCTCTGCCGGACACAGCCGTGCTCCACCGCCTCAGCCTGACTCAGCACATTCACATTCCGGGCTCCTGCTGTCCTCCAGCTCCCCAGTGACACCCCACAGGGGGTTCAGCCTGTCCCTATCCCATGAGTCACAAGATAAAGAAGAAAACCAACTGGACAACCTGGGAAGCACTCAATCCTAACTTTGGAATCTCAGACGTGACTATTTTAGGAACAAATTAAAGAGGCTGTGGTCTGAGGTCAGGGTTTTCAATTCACCAGACGATAAAAAACAACATCACCTGCTCTCACCTACAACCCAAGTTTAAACAGACAAGAGAGCTTCCAAACAGGGCCGGCTACACTTGGGCCCTGAGCTGACCCGAGGCAAATGTTAGTAAACAACTTACAGCACTCTTTTCACCATGCTTCTGGAGGTCTCCGGGCCATGCCCAACTGGTCAAGTTTGGCACAGAAACCTATTTGCTATCACTGATGTGGGACTTGAGCCAAAGTGGAAGATACCTAATCCTCCCCAGCTCCCCAGCAGCAGGTACACCCAGCCTTTCTATAAGGAGGGATCCAAAAATAGGGTGCAAGTTTAAATTGTTTTTATTTTTTGTTATAATCTATTACAGTAAAAGTCACATTACCACTAGTTCTCAAGATAATCCCCTTGTTTTTGAGCGCACTTATTTCTATCATTTCTGCCACTTTCTGGAGCAGTTCTGAAAATCCTTTCTTTGTGCCTTCATGAAGTATGATCAAAAATAAGAGTGCATGTTGTATCATGTGCCATCCCACAGCAAGGCAGGCTTAGAAAAGCACCACGGTGCATCTTCACCCACGGATCCTGCAGATCCAGCCTCACAGTATCGTAACCCCTGCCTCACACAGACTCATGGCAACCCCACAGCTCCTGCCCTCAGAGCCCAGCCCTGCTCTACCCTGGTGACACAACAGCCACCTCTGGGAGGCTCCCACCCAGCCCACTCTGGACTTGAGAACCCCACTGTCCTCCCAACGGAAGAGACTTTGAGAGGGAGATCAAGCAGCCAACACACAGAACACAGGTCACCCCTAACAAGAGATGAGCACAAGCCTGTCTCACTGCCTCATTGCATATTTATGGACTAACTGTGGAACTAGAGAACAGGCCACTGTGTCACCATACCTGTTCCCCCTGTCCAGAGCACATTAACCCCAGGCTGACTGGAAACCCCAAGGATCGCCTGTGAAATACAACCACAACCCCACACAGGAGCAGCTAGAGAGCCTAGCACCACTTGCCGGGCCACCTAAAAAGCAAACAGTGTCACAACATTTTCTAAGATAACAGGCTAGGAAGCGACTCTTGCTCACAGTCAAATGCCCCACACTCAGTGCTGATCCTGTGCCTCACTGTGGGCCTCCTGGAGGGCAGGACCTGCTAACACGCACACTGCTCCATGGCCACCTCTGCAGGCTGAGGGTGCCTGGCACCACTCACTCTCTCAATGGGTAGAAGAGGCACGGAAAAAGGAGCAGGTTGGGTGCCTTTCTATAAATGTACCTGATCTCCAAGGATGTGCAATCACCAATTCCCAAATCCAAAGAGGTCATAACACATGTCCTACCCTAAAAGTGGCCTGTACTCTACTGTAACACCCTATTAGCAGGCTGTGTCCTGCTTCCTAAGGAAGAAGGCAGAGTCCACAGATACAGCATGCATTATGCCCAGCCCACAAGGGCTACCCACAGCCAGGGGCCCTAGGGCTTTCACAGGACACCAGCCCCAAACTGGCTCAGGGTATCTTTGCGCCAGAAAGGGGTCAGGAAGTAGCTTAAACACCAGCCACTAACTCACCTTTCTCACGTTATAGAAGTCTCGGTGGGGGTTACTCTTCAACTCTTTGAACTCAGCCATTTCATTTAACATCTCATGAAGATTGAACTTGGATTCTAGAAAATTCAGTCGCCGGTGGCAATAAGTTTTCCTGTAGGTCAGAGAAGGGGAGAGACCACAGGTGAGGAGAAGTCACATTAGACTCAGTTTGGAGGCTCCCAGCATGAGGAGTCAACCTCTGGGGGGAAAAAGTCAGGTCAAAGAGGGCCAAGGCTCCCAGTCCTGGCTGAACTGATTAATATCACTGTGTGATCAAAGTCACAGTGGGACAGTGCAGAGCTGACTTTGGGACCTCACCTGGTTCTTCAGCTTCTAGCTGTCTGCAGTTAGCCAATTAACAGGAGCCCCCACTCCTATGAATAAAGATCCCATAAATATTGAGATGGTAATGCTCAAGGCCAAAGTGAGGGTATAGGCCTTGACTGTGAGCAGGACAGATGCTCAATAAGTCTCTCCACCTAGATGACAGGAAACAAGGAAGTGGACTTGGGATGTAGAGGAACCACTCACTCCTGACCAAATGTCCCCAGATCTCAATATCCCCAAATCCATTCAGGACTTCAGGACCAAAGAAGGACTTTTTTGCATCATGGGCAAACTGGGAATCCAAAGGCATTTGTTACCAGAATAGAAATTTCTGTAGGGCTGATGCCCCAGGTCCCCACCAACTCAGAGAAAGTGATCACAGGTAGAGAGATTTTCTCAGCCAGTGAAGGTGGGAGCCCACTGCTGCACCCAACTGATGTCCCCCAAAGCCCCCAATCAGGTGCCTGGCCCCATGTCTGGGTCCATAGCCGCATGGTACTTTCAACCTCCATTCATGTCACCCTGCTTCCTCATGACCTCAAAACAAACAGCAGCTACCTTAGCATCCAGTCACCTCTGCTCCCATGAAGAATACCAGCCAAACCAACAACACCCCCAGGGTAAGCACGGGGGAGTCACAGAGAGGGGAGGAAGTGTAAAGGTCACATTAGCCAGTCTCCCTCCCAGGGATGGTCTCTCCTTGACAACCTCCCAGACAAGAGAGTCACTGTTCACACCTCTGGCAGAGAGGGCCTCCCACGAACTGTCCACACCCCTTCCCTGGTCTTAGTTTTGCCCTCGGACCAGGAAGGGCCAAGAGTCAAGCAGTCTGTGCACCCCGCACTCCCCCCAGGGGACCAGCATCATAACATTCTTAGCAAAACCAAAAGGCGCGAGCAAGAAGAGAAAGTCCTTGGTGTGACAGCAGCCTCCCTTCCCAATTCCTGCTCCTGGCACATCCGTGCTGAGGCTCTGTGTACAGACTACTGAACTTTCATTGCGGATGAGCCCGGGTACCCACCAGGAAGTAAGGGGCCAAATGCAGGAAGACAGCTCGAGCCCAGCTATGAGCATCAGGGGTCATAACCCAAAGTGCCCCAGAGCCCCTGCATGCTCCTCTCCAGAAATATGAAAACCCAAGGCCTGAAGCCACAGTCTTCTTCACTTCTCCACTTTGAGTGGCTGTCCCCTGTCATCCCTGACTAACAGGTCTCCACAAGGCTATAGTCTTGCCCAGGGAGAGGGGTGGTAGCTGTTTGAAGGTACACAGGCAGCTACCAATGAACAGAAGCTTCACACATCTATGCAGAAAGGACAGGTAGTAACAACTCTTAAGAATACACAAGCCCATGAAAGAAAACTGTTGTAGAAACTCACAAAGCAAAGAGCAGGAGCACCCATGTTCTTCTGGGATAGTGAGCATGCAGGAAAGCATGCAGATCCTCCCTACCAAACAGCAGCCACCTAATGGCAGGGAGAGGCAGGGAAAGCTGGCTTACGTGGGGCCATCAGTGATGAGGGCCAGGATGTGGCTCATGTCTACCGTGTAGGTCTCCAAGTCAGGATAGGGCAGGCTGTGGGGCTCCTGGCGCTCCAGCATCTCCTTGTCATCATACACAAAGAGGATGCCCTCCTGCATGCAGACCAGGTAGTCCAGGTTGGGAGGTACATCATCCAAGGAGTAAGGGTCCTCCTGGGGCAGTGGGGGAGGGCAGAAGTCTGCAAAACAGGATGGAATGATGGTCAAGCACTCCTGACCTTGTGAATTTGCAAGGACTCAGAAGTTGCCTTCTGAGGGCAAGAAGAGCCTGCCCTGGCTGTCCTATCTAAAACCCAGCCACTCAGCTGCCCTGACATCACATGTTTCCTTCACAGCTTTATTTTTTCTCCTTAGCACTTACCCTTGTACAAAATCACTGTGCTTCTTATCTTGGGTATTATAACTCTTCTCTACTCAGACAGAGTAGACTCGGCATGCAGTCAGTGACTTTGATTTGTGCTCTCATCCTAGAACAGTCCCTAGCACCTGGCTGGCACTTGGATAATTCTTTTTGGTTTGACTGGACTGGGTTTCAGCTTCCTTGGTCTTCAGGGTCCCCAGGAATGTTGGTGGGGGGGGGGGGGCAGCTGTGTCTTCTCCTGATGAACAGATAGCACTGGGCCTGCCTGGTGGGAATAATTCTACCTGTTCTCCCACAGCTTCCTGAGCCCACAGAAGCCAACAACCTGGATGAAGAAGACACCCCATCCCCACCGGACCATGGGATAGGGGCTTGAGTTCCACACACAGGAACACAAAGGACAGGGCTGCCTGTCCCCACAGCTGTGGGCTAAGCCATCCCACAGGAGGCAGAAAATGCCTTCTATTCCCCAGCTATGAGACTGAGAGGTCCCCTTACCACTCTGATCCTTTCTCTTCATCTAACAAGGGTGCCCCTTACTTTCACAGGCTGTCGTGAGGCCTGCAAGTGTATACAGGGAAACGGCCAGTGGCCGTGCCCAGCACTCTACTACAGACAGTGTCCAGCTTTTAAGACTTTTGAACTTTGATTGTGAAAAAGTATACCCATATAGCCATTTAGTTTTTTTTCATTCTCAGTACAGCATTTAATAAATTACATGAGATATTCAGCACTTTACTGCCAAATAGGCTTCATGTTAGATGATCTTACCCAACCATTGGCTGATATAAGTGCCCTGAGCATCTCTAAGGCAGGTTAGGGATAATAAATGCAGTTTTAGCATAGGGTGGATTTATCAGGATGAACCATTGTAAACCGAGAAGCAACAACATTCTTATTATTCACATAATGAGTTTCACAGGGTCTTGATGAGCTCTGCCTCTGACCAAGGATGCAAGATTCTAGAACTTCAACTCTCTGCAGATGAAAGAGCACTATATAGGGCCTGCAGCCCAGCAGCCAGCCCAGGAACACTCTGGTTCCCTGCCTGGCATCCTCCGTCAGTACCCAGAAAAGGAGCAGAACCAGAGCAGGGCTGAGGGCTGATGCCCCCATCAGGCAGCCACCGGCCAGCTCAGAGGTCCTTACCCTGCACCCCATGACCTCCAAGGTGCAGGGGCGAGAGGCCCAGGTGATGCCACAGGCTGCACACAGGTTGCTGCTGCTCTGCTTCACCACACAGAAGGCAAGTCCTTGGTTGATATAAAGCCAAGATTTGACCATCATTCGTGTCTGTCCTTGTCAAAACTGAAGACTTCAGATAGAGAGGGAAATGGAGCCAGAAAGGCTGAATCTGCCCAGAGCTCCAGGCGGTAACAGAATACTCACAGCATAGGACTCAGAGCCACACAGAAGCCAAAGAAAGGGACAACCTGGCACCACCATCCATCAAAGGGCAGCCAGGGTCCTGGACCTTGGTGCAGACCTCCTGGCCCCTATCCACCCCCCACCAGCTTTCAGGAGTGAGACTTCCCTTTGTCCTCATTTGTATGACTTCACTCCAGCTTCTACTGCTCCTCAGTCCTTCACAGGCCAAATGGACTCCACCAGGAAGCCGCCCTGCCCTCTCTCAGCTCCCTCTCCCTGACTTCTGCATCCAAGATGCAGCTGCCACTTACCAAACACACCCCAGATGCCAGAACTGCACTAAACACTCCACACGCATGTGCCTGTGTGACTCTCCTCATCTAACCTGCCCTTGGAGACGAGTACTAATCTTCCATTTTACAGGTTAAAAACTGAGATTTACAGAAATATATGGCCAAAGTCCAAGAAACTGGCAAACCCTGAGTATGAATGCAGGTGTTTGGCTCCAGACCCCATTTCTGCTGCCCTGGGAACAGGCCCTCTGTACCCACTCTCGCTATAGCCCATCCTACTACAGATTCAGCACATATCGTTTGATTGTGTTGTTTTAAATACCCCGCATGAGATTCCCCAACCTCCCTGGGAGACTCCCATGATCAGGGACTGTCTTTCCGCTCTCTCTCTCCTAATTTCTACAGCTAATCATACACAGCTGGGCACAGAGTAGCCATAAAACCAACCTGGGGGAATCAGCAAACTTCAGTGTAGGAGAAAAGCAAACATTGAGCCCCATACCTAAAAACACCACTGGGGGAAACCCTTTCAGCCAGCAAAACCTCCCACCAACTCTTGGGCCAAGCTCAAGAGTTATTTAGGACCCCAACTGCAGCCAGAGCTCCAAACCTGGGAGACCCTCGTCCGGAAGTTCAGCGTTAGCTGGCCCGTGACCCAGGTACTGGGCTGTGGTCCGAGGAAAGCGGTGGTAGGCAAGCCGCGCATACTTCTCCCGGATCAGCAGGGCCTTGGCCAGGCTCTTGGCGGCCTGCTCGTAGTCCTCCACAGTGATCTGCAGAAGGGAAGTGAACAGAAAGGATTCACACATAAGGTCTAGACCATTATGCTAGAAGGATCTGCTTGTAAGCCTAGCCCTTGGCGAGTACCTGGGAACCTGGATTTTGCAGGATTCTTACCCTGACCAAAAAGGATGGTTCACTGTGTCTAAACGGCTCACACCAGCAGGATGTATGCCAGACACCTGATTTCCTTCTAGGAGGCTGGAACCTGGGGGTGTGCTATGCAGTGTATGGCAGATCTAGTAAAAGCCTCGGATGCTGCACCTCTAATGAGCTTCCCAAGCAGGCAGCATTTATCACAGCTGGATACCTACAGTACTCAGTATGTTCTGGTGGCTCCGCTGAGACAGGACTCTCAGAGAAGCTGCCACCAGGTGTCTTGAGACCTCACCCTGTGTGCCTTTCTCCTTTGCTGGTCTGCTCTGTGTCATTTCACTGTGATAGATCGTAGCCGTGAGAACAGCTCACTGCTGAGTCCTGAGAGTCCTAACAAATCACCAAACTCTGTGGTGGTCTTGAGACCCCAAGATACGAGACCCAAGAAGAGAGTCAGCGTCACTGGGAGAGAGGCAGATATTCAGGCCCTCCAGAGATTGCCCTCACCCCCCAGCTGTTGATTAAACCACAAGCCTGCTGTTGCCCCAAAACCTTGCGCGTACTTCTGATAGAGCACCATCGTATTCAGTTGAGAAAATCCATGGGTCCCTCAGATGTTAAAACAAACAAACAAATAAATAAAAGAATTCTACATGCCCAATCCCACGCTTCATCAGCTCCTGGCTGACAAACACCCCTTATGCTCATGTGTTACATACAAGACCTTCCCACATGTGAACCCTCTCATTTCACTCCATACCAAATCCATTTTAAAAATGGAGAAACTGAAACACATAAAGGATCAATCACTTGGCAGAAAGTCACAAATTCAAACTTAGACTCTGATCTGAGTCCCAAAGCCCAAGAATGTTCTGCTTTCCCAGAGCTGCCTTATGTTCAAAAATGAAAGAGACATATGTCCACCTTCCAGTGGGCCCACAGTGGGTTCAGCAAGGATGAATGTCACAGAAATCTGAATGAGCTTGAAGAAATACGCAGACAGGCAGGACAGCGAGATGTGATGCAGAGAGGGAGGTGCAAGATGCTGGGGGAACACGGCAGGGAGGGTTGGGAATTCCTCATTTGTCTTAACGATATAATCACATTTAGCTTTGAAATGCTGTAGACACACAGATAAGCACCCATGGTAATGTAACAGACACCCAGCATCTACCTTTCAGAGCTATCAATATTCACATTTTTGTTTCAGAGCTCTAACAAGTACAGAAAGTACAGATAAGTTAATTTCTACAGTTCCAGCTAGAAATCCACCACTCTTCTCGAGCCTCAGAAAGGAGGATGCAGGCATATTTATCATTCCCACTCAGGTTTTTATACTTTTACCAAACAGTATTCTTTGCTTTCATAAAGCAGAAGCAGCCAGGCGTGGTCGCTCACACCTGTAATCCCAGCACTTGGGAGGCTGAGGCAGGAGGATCGTTTGGAGTTCGAGACCAGCCTGGGCTACAAAGTGAGCTCAAGGCAGCCTGAACTGCATAGAAAGACCCTGTCTCAAAAACAAAACAAAAAAACCTGGAAGCGTCTCTTTCCTGCCTCCAGTGTCCACACAAGGGTGGTTAATTCCACCTTCCACCCCGATGGGAAGGCCTCTGAGAATGGCATGAATGGGTAGGCAAACACAACCATCTCTGACAAAACAATGTCCCTGCTCACAGCAAAGCCAACCAATTTCTCTGAAAAATCAATGGGTGCAGCATGACAAAAGGCTTGGGTTCAGGCTCAGGCTATCGAGGTGCAGGATCCCAGGGCAGCAGGAGCCAGAGCCAAGCTCATAGGCACTCCAGGCTGCCTGGCTGGTGGCAGACTGTGATGCCAAGGAGATCTGCAAGGTTAGCTACTTCTCACTAGTTGCCCAGATCGGGCTCCTTCCCCACTATGTGCCTGACAGCGGGAAGAAATGAGGTAACTGTCCAGGCCCACGTCCTGTCGTTCTGTGCACACTCAGCCAATCTCCACTCCTTCTCTCCACCATTCTGCCTGGTGAACAGCAAGCCTTGATCTGGTGTCTGAGCTTCAGACAAGGCCTGCGTTGTTTCCCACCTCAGTTCCCACCCCCAGGAACTTAGCATTATTACTTGTCTCCATCTACAAGGAGAAATACCATGCACTTGTAAAGAAGAACAGGAAAGTTCTTGTAAACTAAAATGGTGCTCTCTCTAGATGGACTATGGAGAGGCGGGGCTTGTTTATTTTCTAATCAAAACCACATCTTCCTGGTTGAGAGAATCTAGCCTGTATTTCAAGACACTGACCCTAAGCTACCTCATCAAGAACTGATTCTGTACAAACGAGGCAGCCCTGTGACTTTGAACTCATTAGATTCCTGGGAACACCGGGGCCCAAGCTGGCACCCTTCTCAATGGGCTTATAGGAGCAGAGGGCGTGCAAAAGCCTGCAGCTGTGTGCCTCTAACAAGGAAGGGGGAGTCTCCTAGACACCCTACCACCACAGCCCTGTTCAGCATCCTGTGCCTCCTCTTGACCACCTCCCAGACACCCATGGGCTGAACCAGGTTTCAGGGGGGACATGACCAAGGGCCCCTGGCCTCAGCATTCAAGACCCCCATTCGACACTGTCACAGATGCCTTACCCCAGCACAGTAATCTCCGCTGATGATGACCCGCTGGTACTCGGGCATGGCAGAGGGTGCAGGTAGGGGCTGGGAGGCGGCTCCACAGAGCACAGGGGTCAAGGGAGACATGACCGGGCTGGCCGATGGGGGACCCTTCCAATCTTGCTGCGTCGGCATTTTCAGGGACAAGGACTGGGACCGGATCATCTTGAAACTTGTCTTTCTAAGAGCCAACGACAAGGAAAAGTGGGAGATATCAGCAGCTGATTGGGATGAGTGATAAACAGGATACATGGCAGAAGAACTTTTGTTATGATTAACCATTGCTGCTGGTCATACCATTAATCCTTAATTAGCTATGTCTTCCTCACACACATCTCTCATGTACAGACACAGCACAGTCTTCCAGACACCCAGGTCTGTGGTTGCCACCAGCTACTGTGGTAGCACAAGTGACATTACAGTAGGCAAGCACCAGAGACAAACAGATGCAGACCACGAGGACTCTACTACCACAGCTCAGGGATGTGAGGGTGCCATCAAATCAACCAGGCCAGCATGCTATCTTCATACTACCAGGCATATGAACGGTCTCAGTAAAGACCATTTAGTCTTTTACAGGGTTTGAAATGTGGAGGATTAGAAGCAGAGGCAACATAGATGATTAATTAGTCCAGCCTCCTTGCTTTCTAAACAGCAGTCAGGGGACCTGAGATGGAAAGCAGTTTATGCAAGCCACACTGCTCCCTAAACCATCACCCCTGCTACTCCTTCCTCAACCTGACATCTACCATCCTGGCAGCAGCTGCTGCGGTGGGGACAGACTGATATCCCTGTGATAGGACAGGGGTTGATCAGCACGAACCCCAGGTCTGGACCTTGGGACTCATCACTCTGGCACTAAAGATGATTCATTCACTCTTGGGCACAAGGTTGGTTTTAAAACACTGCAAGCTCATGCTTATGTGCAAGGCTGACTTGTGATGACTTCACATTCCCTCATTAATAGGACAGTAAGGTTTCACTTAATGTCACTCCAAGCCCTGGAATTCCCAGGAAGGAAATTAGTCAGCACTGGAGCAAGGCCACAGCACCTCTGTCCTTCTGTCTCCAGTGGAACCCTGCCTCCTTGCACTGCCACCTCATGGGGTCCAGTGTGAAACACTGGCTTACCACCTGCCTACCTTGTACCACAGGGTCCAGCAGCTTCCTAAGTATTTATTGCAACACAACCAGGGCCTATATAGCCACTAACAAAACACTCAGCCAGAGTGGTGACAAAAGCCCATCAATCTCTCCTCTTTGCTGGGGACCACAAAGTCACAATGGCTAATTTTGCATGCCTTCCTAAGGGATGATAAAATGGATCCTTGAGATACTACCCATTTGAGATTTCCCATTGACTCTTCACAGCATAAGATCATCTATGCTCTCTTGGGTCATCCCAGGATTATACCCCAAGACAAGCTCCTTCCTGGCATAAAATCATCTATATCCTCTTCAGTCTGAGTCTTACACAGAATTGGAATCTTTTGCTAGGCTAGTACCACCAGTCACTGTATACACTCGATAAATGATTTAGGAGTGTGAAGAGGAGAACCCCTCGGAAGACACTGACTTCCTAGCCATTCTTGTGTTACTTAACTTGTCTCTGCTTTTTATTTTTCTCACCGTACCCTTAACCCAAATAATCCAGACTCTTCACTGGGTCCCTGATACCTCTTCTCTGAACCAGGGATATAACTCAGCAGTATAACTGCCTGCTTGACAAACACAGGTCCTAAGTTGAATTTCTGGTACCAAAATTAATTAATTAATTAATTAATTAAAATTTAAAAATGGACCCTGACATCTCTTTTCCACACATGGGTGACAGAAGGTAGGATACAGAAATCAGTCCGACCCCAGATGGGCCTCAAGGCCCACCCAGGAGCTGCTGTCTTCCTGCTGGCCCAGCCTCAGGTGTCCTCACTGTTGAATTTCCAGGAACCGCAGTTCACCTCTCCCATTTGTTTACCCAATGCATGCCATGGTCTTCTGGTTCTTACCAGCCATGACAAAGACCTGTGCTACCCCTACTTTGAGGCAGGGCTGCTTATACCTGAGAGGTGGAGTGACCCTTCCCCAGGGTCTCTCTTTGCCCTTCTGACCTCGAATAACAGGCACCATAAGCTGCTTCAGGAAACATCTGGACTCGAGGAGCACCAGCCCTGGCCATTCCCAATCTGTCCTCCCTCCCTTGGAGCTGAGTCAGTATCCAGTTCCAAGAAAGATGCCAACTCCTGCCAGCCCACTATCATTCAGAGGCACATTCACGTAAGCTGTAAGATTTCCCTTGGACATCTTTTAGACATTCACATCTACAGGAAGCTTTGGGCTTCCCAGACTGACAGGCTCAGCAGGGTCCCTTGAGACTCGGGCTTCTATGTCACTCTTATGACTCTCAGTCAGTTATTATCTCTAGGCCATCACTGTCCATTCTGCCTGAGCTCTGGTCCTACCAAGGAGAAGCAACAGGTGAGTTCTAAGGTGAGTAGCTTCTAAGGTAAGATAGGTTATAAAAAATAGCCACAACCCAAAAGCTAGAAGGTACATAAACCAAAGGTTTACCTGGCTTGTGCTGTATATTATTCTATCCCACTGAAAAAGCCAGTACCTGCCAGCTGGTGCCCAGAGAATTCTCTTTCTTGAACATATCCATGATGGCTCTAGCCTTGGTCTTCAGATTAGACTGTCACATACAAACAGTCCTAGGCTGGGTCTCAGAATTGCAGGCACAGAGCAGCTCACCATGACAAGGCGTCAGAACCATCACAAGTTAACCACTGAGTTTGTATAAAAGTTGGAAAGGCTTTTTCTATCACTGTATAACAAACTGCCACAAACTTGGTAACTGAAAACACCTATGTATGAGGTCACCATTTTGTGGGTGACAACAATGACAGGGTTCAGCTGGCTTTGTGCTCAGGCTATCAAAGGGCCAAAATCACCATGTTGGCCACACTGTCTTCCTGACTGAGGCCTCTGGGAAATAATTCATTTTCAAGCTTATTCAGGGGCTTGGCAGAACATAGCTGCATGGGGCTAAAAGACTGAGAGCTCCAGGTTTTTTGCTGGCCGTGGCACAGGGGTCACCTCAACTCCCATAGGTATCTCTGTTACCCTTGCGCATAGCCCTCATCTTCAAAGCCAGCCTTGAATGTCTCTGACATCCTCCTTTACTGGCTCTCCAAGAAAGCTTCTGGTTCTGAAGCCCAGGTACCACCACTTCCAATAACCTCCCTCCCTGGCCACATTCCATAACACAGTGACAAGAGTGTTGGCTCAAATTCACAGCGTCCAGAGGTCCAAGAGGGACATTTTCAATTGGGGATATTTAAAATACTCTGCAGACCATAAGCCTGTATCTAGTATTCATGCTGCACTACAGATACACTACAGGGGTGGGCAATGGGGCTGCCTGTGTGTGCACACAATGTGTGTGTGTGTGTGTGTGCACCTGCAAGCATGTCCCTCTTTCCCTCTCAAGTCTATCTGAAGCCCCACAGCAGTCACAATGAAAGAGGACACAAAGGAACTTCCCAGAGGCTTTATCTGAATTACAGAAGCCGGGATCTGTGTAGTACAACCCTCTTTTGAGAGCAGCCTTTGTTTGGATACCCCAGGGGCCAGATAGTCCTCTGTATTCCTGAATAAGAGCAGTCACCAATCATGTATTTCACGGACACTTAAACAAGTTCCTTCTCTGGGCCAGGCGTGAGCTAAACACACTGACAACACAGAGCTGAATAAGACCTGACCTGATGCCACTGTTTGAAAGCACTTCCTCATGACAGACCCAGAACTGCCAGCCTGCAGTCCCACCTGTCACATCTCATGCTAGGCCGGAGCACTGGGTTAGCCAGCTTAGCTGGCCACGGCTGGCCCGCCCCCTCCTTCCTCCAACCACACACTGGAGGAAGGCAGCCACCTGGCAGAAGTGCCAAAGACCTGGCAGGGTGTGGGACTGTGAGGACAACAGCTCTAGGCCAGGAAAGAGGGCCTAGGCTTAAAACACTTTTGTCATCCTCTGGACGGTTGCTCCTCCTGGGCCACAGGGACTCTCTTGCTAATATGACCTTCAGAACAAGGAGGTGATCTGGTCCACACAGGCAGTTATTACAGCTTCTTCTCTCCCAGCACCTGTCCACTGCCCCCACCTGCTCTATGGCCCCTGTCAGCATTCTCAGCCTGCCCACTCCTCACCCTCCTCAGAGCCTGGGAATCAGGCATCACCTTCCCCAGCATCTGATTCATACACGGAACTGAAACGCAGAACTCTTGGTGGAGGCCATCTTTGCTCTTCTTTCTAGAGAGCAGCACTATCTTCCTTCCAAAGCCCACTGTCTGTCCAGGGAATGGCCAGCAGGGAGAGACACCAGGCCTGGCCTGGAGGAAAACAGGTAAATTAAATATAATCCTTACTCTAAGGGCAGGTAGTGTGGGCAGAAATGGTTCAAACTATTCCATAGATTGATCACATTAGGATATGGTCAGTGTAATTAGAGTTCTGGGAGTGGGGGCAGAGAGCAGCAGGGATGGAGAATGAGAGGGACACAGCAGAATGGGGAGGCCTGCTGATCCCCTCCCCCAGCTGGGATTGCGCAGGGTTCTCCACTTCTGAAGGAGTACTAATATTGTACAGGCTGCGGGCCCGCGCCATCAGCACACCAGATTTGTTAACACTATGATTCTGAGTGCCACCAAGTAGGGTGCTTTCCACTTTCCCACTCATCTGTCCCTGCTGCTTACATGGCCACTGCATTGATCCACGTGGAACTGGGACCCCTGGTCTTAGGAAAGCAAGAGCTGAAGAGGAGAGGAGATGTGGCCTAGGCTGCATGCTGGGCGCAGCGAGGGGCAGGTAAACCATGCTGGGCCTCCCAAAGACCACTTCCTCTGTGGGCACGGCCAGGTGACCAGCAGCCTGGCCAGGTGGGTGGAACTTCTGAGCATCTTGAAGCCCTTCAGGCATAAAGACAGCTCCACCATCCACCTCTTTCTTAGCTCCACTGGTCACCTGCCCACTCCTGCTCTGAGAGTTTCTTTCAAGGCCTATGACAGTGTTGCAAAACTGATTGTGATCACTGTTGCACAACTCTGTAAACACATTAAAATTCATGGCACTTCACACTTTACATGGGTGGATTGTATGGTAGACAAATTACATTTCAATAAAGATAAAGAAGAAAAGGAAGGACAAGAAGAAACAGAAGAGCTATAAGAGCCCTGTCATGAGATTTGATAGCTCAGAAATTTTTCATGTTACGCTGGCTGCAGGCTGTGTTCCCACGTGTGCATATATGGGGTGGGCAAACTCTAGTAAGGCTGTGAAGAGGAGACTCAGTGTGGATAAAACAGGGCTCTGGGCACCACTAGGATTTTCTAGTTCTTAGCTTGTCTCCCAACAGCCCACCCTCCCTCAAGTTGACCCATCCTGAGCCCCAGCAGAGATCTGGCGAATGTCATCGTCCTAAGGCAGACAGGTCTGTAACAAGCAGCTCCTGGTCTGGGCCTGGCCTACAAAATGAGTGCTTCTCCAGGTAGCCAAAGTCAGTCCCCAGTCCCTCATGGGCCAGTTTGGCTCCTAGGGCTGGAAATCCTGGACAACAAAACTGTGCACCAGCTACTCATCTTTTCTGCTCGCAACTGCTGTACACTAGCAAAAAGAGCTTCGTTATGTTTGTGTTATGCTTAAGTTATATGACCAAAGTACCTGTAACACTGCCATACTGTTCTGTATGTGTCTTTTTTTTTCTGGGTGACCTAATTGGTATGTTAGTCAATGCTCCCCTCTGTAAAGAATTGTAAATCCCTGGGAACCTGACCTAATTTATATGTTAATCACTGCTGTCCTTTACAAATAACAGATGTTGTGCTAAAATAAGTTGACAAAGGATTGTTAATTCCTGCTAGACTTCTCTGTCCTCTGCTAAGGGAAACAAAGGTCTTCCTTATTCCTTAGCAGATTTCCTGATCCATGCCCATAACCCCTTACTTTGTAAGCTGTGCTTTCTACAAAAAGTCTGGAAAGTTTTGAGGGAGACACACAGCTTTTGCAAACTCCAACTGCACTGTGTCACTGGGCCCAGGATAAAATAAATCAAACAGCACTGCTTTTTTAAAAAACATGTCTTGCCCCATTTTTGGACTCAAGGTTGGGGGCTCTGGGAGGCTCGTTGTGGATTACAAGATTTGGGGGCTCGTCCGGGGCTACTGAGGGACCCCCCCCAATTATTTTTTCACTGATCAATCAGCTAAACATCTGTAAGTATTTGGGGTTTTTTTGCCTGTTTATAATTTGTGCACACATTTGTAACTGCAGATAGAATGAGACAACTTCTGGGAGCTTTTTTGCCCATTTGTAATTTAGGGCTTTGGGACCCATTCATAACTTTGGGCTTCAGCCCGTTTGGGGGTTTTTGCCCATTTGTAATTTGGATGCACAGAGTGACTGCAGACAAGCTAGCATAAAGGTACCTACAGTGAGCTGAGAAGTGATGTGCAAGGACAAATTTGTGTGAGGGTGATCTCAGGGGACACTGGAATGCTCAGCAGGTAGTTGAGGAGATGGGCTGTCTTTCAGAAGCCAGCAGGTACAATCTGGGAAGAGCAGTACTATCTTTCTGGTATCTGCACATCAAGAAGCCAAAGGCTCCCTTCCACCTGCGAATGTGACGGTCTCTTGGTTAAGATGGGTCTAGATTCAAAAGACATGGGTTCTAGCCCCTGCTCTGTTACTTCCTATTTGTCTTTGTGAGAGATAACCCAATTTCCCTGAGCTTTATTTTCCTAATCTCCAAATTCAGGATTCTGAGAATAGCTACTCATAAACTTAATGTGGGGATGAAAGAAGAATGCAATTGCATAACCTTGTACATAGCCCACACTAAGAAGTCTATGGCAGCAGCTGCTACTACTCAGCAGCAGGCGGCTGGAGAACCAACATTTACAGGCTTGCTGCGACTCAGGCATGTCTTTACACATGTTAACTGCGACTCAGGCAAGCCTTTACACATGTTAATTCCTTGTTTCCTCACAGTGTCTTATGACAGTAGTTATTTTATCATCTCCACTCTACAGATGAGGAAGCTAGGGCCCAGAGACATTTCCTAATTCTCCCAAGGTCCCACAGTGTGCACATGAGTAGCAGAACACAGTGGTCCTTGACATGAGGAAAAGAGAAAGGCAGGATATCTTTCCTCTACCAAACATCCACTGCTCATCAACTTGGGGAAGGCCTAGGCTGGATGCTGGGGAGACAGCGTGAGCCAGATACAGTCTTCAAGGAGCTATTAGTCAGATGGGGCACACAGATGCAAGGCAAGGTCCCACAGCCTAACAGGAAAGGACAGGACAAATTTCTGGGGAGGAGTTTGCAGAACAATTTCTAGAAACCAGAGAGCACCATCTGAACTGAGAGAAAGAAAGTTCCATTTTGTCCTTAGCCTGGGCATTGATAAACAAAAAACACAGTCTCTTATTGCAAATGTCAAGCCCAGTGTCACCCCTCTAATAGAAAATGACTTCAGACATTTATTAGTCCTATTAATTAAAAAAAAATCCAAGACCCCTGTCCTCTCGTTATGAAGAGTCCAAACTGCTCAATTCATCACACACAGAAAGCTCCGCTGAGCACACTGGTCCTGAAGCCAGCCCCTCTTTTCCACAGGTCAACAGGCACAGCCGAGGGTCTCAACAACCATGCTCCTATTTCCTTCGAGGGAAGAGCAAAGTGCTGGAGCTGAGCCACCCACCTCACCCGACACAAGGCTGGCACTGACAGTTGGCAGTGGCCCCGTGACCTTTTCCTTCTGAAGAAGGCAAGCCCAGATTTTACAGATGGGTGAGGGCCTGTCCCTGCCCTTGTGCCAGCAGTCAACTTGTTACTTCTTTCCAAAGCTAGTGAAGGATTTCTACACTACCGAGACAGGAAAGGTCCTCTCAACAATGAGGAGGACCTGGGTGGGGCCTTATCACTGACTGGGTCTCAGAGAGGCCCAGGGTTGCAGGACACCAGCTTTTGAAGTTTGTAGTGTGTGGTCAGGTGGTGACCCCTGATGTGGCTGCACTAGATTTTTCTTGAAAGCTTCTTTCCTCTTCAATTCTATTCTCTCAAATGAGATAAGTTGTGAAGGAATTCACACCTGAATTACACAGAGACTGAACCCACACCTTCTCATCAGGGAACACAAGACCAATCTGAAGGGGTCTTGCCCCCCCTCCAGCTGCAGGGCATGGCCTGGCTCCCTCCAACCTTAACCAATAGGCCTCCTTGAAGATTCCTGGGGACTTCTGCCCTGACTGACTCACCTACTTGTGAGAATGCCACTGGCTGACCACACAGCGAACTCCTTTACATAAAACTGTCACTTCCTCGGAGCCGACAGCCCTTAGCAGCTGCCTCTCCTCCACGCCTCCAGCTTCCATCAGAAAGGCTACCATGGTTCCCACTTCCCCAGCGTGACCTGTCCTGGGATCCATCCACAACATCTCTTTATCTCCCAGCCAGGGCTGCTGGCTTTTACTCTGTCCCATCTCTAGTCTGCCTCTCTCACCTTTGTTTGGCTTCTCAGCTTTCTACAACGTGCATAACTAATTCCCTACATCAAAATCCTATCGCCAATACTCAGGTTTGTGCTTTTCTAGTTTGACCCTGATTGAAACAGAACTTAACACCACTTGTAATACTTTTATTAGTGTGTCCAATATCTTAATTATTGTACTGACTCACTGTAAGTTCCACAGGGCAGGCACCATACTGCATTATACATTGGTACATCTGCAGTCCCAGCACAGTGCCTGGCAAACAGTTAATTAACAACTAACAAGTGTTAAGTGATAAAAAGAAACAAAATTGTTGTTTCCTCAAATTTCCCAAAAGAAATATTAACTAATAATGCAAATGAGCATCAAGTGAAAAAATAAAATTTGTGTCTCCCCAAAAATCCTCAAATTTCCAAAAAAAGTTAACTAATAATTCAAATAAGTGCCAAGTAATGAAAGCAAATGTTAATAATGTAAAACAAGCAGCAAGTGACGAAAAGAAATATAATTGGTGTTTCCAAAAAAAATCCTCAAATTCCCAAGTAGAAAAAAATGCTAAGAATATAAATGAGTGCCAAGTAATGAAATGTTAACTAACAATGCAAATGACTGTCAAGTGATGGAAACAAAGAAAATTGATTTTTTTTTTTAAAAAAACCCCAAATTTCCAAAAAGAAAAGGGAACTGTCATTTGGAAATGGCATGCACTCGGTTTGTTATTAAAATAGCAGCGGGGAGAGAACAGTTTCTGATCTTTTCACCAAACCCAGGCACCAAGATTTCCTTCAATAAGCAAGTGGTGAGTGAATTGGTCAAGATATCGCCCCACCCCTGGGAACACGTCAGCTTCCTGAGTGACCCATGTCAGGGACACAACTCTGTCCACGTGATAGCCCAGGACAAACCTTTTCACGGTCGCCACAGACTTCTGCTCCTCCAGCTCCTTCTGCAGCTCCCGCTCCTTGGCTTCCTTTTGCCCAATGGGACAGTCCTCAGGGACGGTGAAGAGAGACAGGGCATCTTTGCTGTCCTCTTCTCGCAGCACTTTAGCAAACACCTTCTCAGCCAGGAGCCGGACTTGCTCATCCACCTCCGAGATGTTCAACTTGGGGAACTGGCGTGGCATCTCTGAGAGCAAACAAAGAAAGAGGAAACATCAGCCATCCGGATGCCCTGGGTCCCCGGTATGGAGAGCAGGTGGCACTGCAGCGCGGCCCAGCCCCACCTGGGCCTTGGCTCAGCTGTCCACCCAGGAATTCCAAGAACAGACCCAGCGGGCCAACTTTCAAAATTAGCTCTATAAGTAATTGGGTGTGTGAGGCACAGAGAGCCTCTCATGTTTCATGAGAAAGCCACTGTTCATTTTCCCAACCTTGGGGAATCAAGAGTACACAGTGGCCTCACGCTCCTTGCTTCACTTCCAGGATTGAGAGGGCAGGAGACAGTTGAGAACCCTCCCTGCTCCAGACTGCGAGGAAGGGTGTTAGGGCTGCAACACAAGCAGCCACTGTTCCTCTCCTTCCCCAAGGGAAGACCAAGGTTTCCGGGATGAACAGTGAGCTTAAGGCCCCAGCATACTACAAGAGACCTGGGAAATCCACGGCTGCAATCTGCATGTCAAGGACAAGGCCTTTTGCTGAAAGAATCTGCTGCCACACAGTTCCACGGTGCCCTGAGCCCTCCAGGACCCTTTAATAAGGCACAACAAATACAACAAAGGATTTGAACAGGGGCCCTTTTTATGCAGATGAAAATTCATTCCTGTCCACATCTCTGTGTACTGGAGCTTTCCTAATTACTCAGTTTCTTCTTCTCTTTCTGTTTCTTTTTTCCTTTGTTTCTTGCTTGCCTTCTTTCTTTTCATATATATATATTTTTTTCTGCCAGGCACTTTATACATATTAACTATTTCCATTTACAGTTGAGAAAATGAAGGTATAGAAAGCAGATCTACCCAGGATGACACTTGAAATAAACTGGCAGAGGTCTGGACTACTCTCTTTCTCCCGCTGTCCCTTTCACCTCTGAGACTCTACTCGGGAATCTGAACCCAGACACGCAGTCACTGCATCTACGCCCTTAACCACCATCCTGTGCTACTGTTCTGTGCCCCTCGGGGTACAAGACAGGGTTCTCTCATGGTCCCCAGCATAACACAACACTTACTACAAGCCTTATGCAATGCTGGATGCTGCCTCTGCCTTCCCTAGGATTTTAACAGAAAGGGAGTTTCCTGCATACCTAGTACCACATTTTCTTGAAGGCTTATTTAAGAGACAAGTGGTTTTGTTGACAGACAGGTGAGACCAGCTCTGCCTGGAGGGAAAGGAAGCGATTATAGGAGTGAGGGCTCACTGGGATAACTAGGGACAGTCATTTTCTGACCCGACAATGTTATCATCTGAGAGATTAAAGGATGAGACTAAGTGGTCTGTAAGTTTCTTCAGTTCTAAATGGCTTAATCCTAGGTACCAGGGAGGTTTCCAGTGCCTGGGGCAGCTTGCTCTTCTGGTTTTCTCTGCCCCATGTGGGGCTAATTCATGACACACAGGAAGGAGGACAGCAGGCTGGTAATGGGCATTCAGAGGTGTGTCCAGAGGCCACTCAACTCCAAAACCAGTTTCCTCTTCCTTCCACACTCAGCCCTAGTCAAGAGTGGGAGGCAGCAGGTGAGAGGAGCCCCTTCAGCAAGCAGCTGGGCTGACCTGGGCTGATCCAGGGAGCAGACCCAAGACAACAGAGGCCCAGCCTGGAAGAGGAAGAGGAGAAGGGACAGCGCTGCCAAGGGAGAGTCCAGGTCCTAATGGCAAAGAGAGGGGGAGGTCAAGGACCATAGGCACAGAGGCTCCAAGAAGAAGGGGACAAGGGAGAGAAAGGTGGCACAGCATAAAACACCAGGCTCACTCAGAGCAAAGCTGGGTCCCTTCCCCTGACTCCAAGTCCACAGTTGTTAAAGGAGGCATCCAAAAGCTTCACATCACATCCCAGAAGTAGACACCAACCAGAGCCAGGCAAAGGGCAACAAATGCCATAAAAAGCCACACTGTTTGATCAAGCAATCATCTTTCTAGAAATTCCATTACAAGCATCCAAAGGAAGGAAAAAGCACAAGGATGTTTACCTGCACTCTTTACATAAAGAACTGTAAAACACCTGAATTTGAGTGTATCCATTTGGGAAAATAAACTGTTAAGCAACCAGCTTTATACTTGTAAGGATGGTACAACCACAGTTTTAAAATCTTGTGACAAAATGAAAAAAATTAATACATGAAATTATATCCTCACTTTGATTATAAGGTATGAAGATGCTTATGCTTAGGGTCAGGCGAGACACACACTCAACATGATCAGATGGCAAGGAAGTATGTATGTGAGGGAGTCTTACTTTGATAATTAACACTGCTATCATGTCATGTGTTAAATAAACACAGAGGAAGAAAATAGATTTAAGACCTTATAAAATAATAAAAACAAATTAAATTCCTTATTCTACACAGTCATGGCAAACCTTTCAGGGCTTTCAATGATAATGAACAGCTGGCTATGGCACGTGTGCCGCAGGTTTGCCACCACTGTTCTAATAGATGTTGGCAGTTAGGGCCCTGCCCCACTGGCCACACTGGAGGCCAGCTCAAAAGGAGGTGAGCCAGAGAGACCTGTCTCTGCCTAAGCTTCTATCCTGAGCAGAAATGGCTCACCACCCTCCCCTCCCGCAAACACACAGCCTGACCAGACATGCCATCCAGCCCCTCAGGAGTGGGCATCTGGCAGGGTCCTTCTTGTCTGAGGTTCTTGCCCAAGAGCCTCTATCTTTGCCTCAAAAGCATTTCAGCTTGCTCAAGTCAACCAAAAATATTTTTTCAGGATTATCTTTCTGTAAAAGATCTTCTTTCTGTAAAAGATCTTCTCCTCCAGCTTAAGAAGATTAAATCCATTTTTCTCAAACTAAGTCCATGAGAAATCAAAACACAAAACCTGTTGCTGGTAACACAAGGACGGAGATGTTGTATTCCACAGCCCCCCAGTCCAGGTTCACAATGCACATTAAGAACTCCACGACCACAGAAAGGACCATAGGCATCTCCCCACAAAAAGCTTTTCTTTACAGAGCTAGAGTGGATCGCCTGCAGAACTATTTCCACTGTTTTTAAACAAGCAGTGAAGACTGAGAGCAACCCAGGTAGGTCTTGCAGCCCACTACATGTCTGCTGTCTTCTGGACATCCTAGGCAGACTGCTCCTGCCTGCCTCTCCAGAGCTTGTTTCGCCTCTCAGACCACCAGGTCTCCCAAGGACAGCCCACTCTGCAGCTGCCCAGGCAGAATTCAGCTCCAGCTGCCTGATCACATCTGCCTTGCAACCATTTGTCAGCTGAAGCCAGCAGGCTTATGAGGCTTAACTGTGAATTCACCGGCATCAGTCAGCTAGCAATACAGCTTATCTCACTGTGACATACAACACTCTGCAAAGAGCATGAAGAAATGTCAGCTAGAAAGCCCTAAATTGCTGCCAATTGCAACACACAATAACTTTGCATGGCACCGCAGCACCTCTTGAAAAGTGTACCACCACCAAGATCCCCTCTATACAAGTCAAGCTGTTTCCTGCCCTTGCCAGATGCTGATTGACAAAAGAGCAACACACAGACCTGATTCTGACTCCGGAGACTCCATGGTTGCTTCTGAGGATGCCACACAGGCAAGCACTCGACCCTGTGCTGTGTGCTGCTTGGACACTGAGCTGAGTCCATATAAAAGCAGCTAGCTGGGGCCCTGCAGCTAGGGTGGGAGGTCTCTGCTTTGCATATTTGTAAGCAGGAAAAGTCTAGGATGGAAATTCTTCCCTGAATATGAAATAGAAATGGAAAATTGCCAAGATCCTAAAGCCCCCAGGTAAAGTTGGATATCCAAGGCAAAATGCCTGTGATGGCCCAAAGGCAGTGTCCTGGCCTGGCTCTAAGCCCTCATCAGAGAAAACTAAAGCAGTTGCTCTCCTCAGCTACCCTGGGCAACCACAAGAGATAAGCCACCAGCTCCTTCCAACGCCAGAGCCCTGAAAGCAGAGAAGAAGGAGGGATATCATCATCACCTTGGGGACTTCTATTCTGAGTCCCACATCAGGTCTCACCTGGCCACCGGGTTCATCTCACCAAGATTTGTCTGCGGCCCAGCCTGCCTTGCCACCTCTCAGAAGATCCCCCAGCCCTCAAACACTCCTGAGGGCACTCCAGGCCTGGGCAGGGAATGTGGAGCCCGCTGTCCATACCAGCCGTTCCTACTTCCCCCTCTAAAGGAAGAAGGATCATGGACCGTCTCCTCCTTGCCCAGGAAAAAGAGAGAGTCTTAGGGAGAGAGGACAGCCTTGGTGCAGAGGCAGAAAGCAGAAAGGATAGCCAGGATATGAGACCGGCACCCCCTTCTCATTCTTCCTTTCTTCACTGTAAGCAGCAGCATCTCACGAATGACTGTGACAAGCTCTACTACACACACACACACACACACACACACACACACACACACACACAGAAGAAAGAAGCAGGGAGCAGCTGGCCCCCCTGAGCCCACCCATCATCCCCTCCCGTCCCCTGCGTTTCTTACTGCTGCTTGTGTTCACGTGGGCCTCCAGCTCTGCGCAGCCTCTGCCGCTGCCTTGGGGAAAGTGGAGCCCGCCTCAAGTGACCCACGGAAGCCAAGCTGGATGAATGAAAACAACCTCACAGGTGCAAAGCTCTGTGCCTTTTCATCTGCCCTTAGGAGAAAAGACGGACTCAGAAGAGACACGCAGCCTTCTAGTGACTTCAACAAATCATTTGGGTCTGGGAAATAACCGTGAGCAAAACAGCTATTTCTGTGATGCTGTTGAAATCCTAAGGAGAAGAGCCCAGAAAGGATGGGTCAGTTGTTTACCAGGAGGGCTAGCTGTAACCCGGATTTGGACCTGAGTCACCTCCTCATGTCCAATGAGAGGATGAGCCCTCCTGAGCCCACATGGTAACTCCAGGGTACATGGAGCAGGATTACAAGGCTGACACATGATCCTGGGGCAGCTGCTGAGTGTCGGCTACCCACAGATTACGACCCACCTGTCCACCCAGCTGTTTCATAAACAGTGTGATCAGCAGGCTACAAGTAACCTAGAAAGGGGGAGATATGTGTTCATAAAATAATTAAATGGGTTTACAGCATGAGAAAAAAAAATCCAAGCCCTTGGTATTGTTCTACCAGAAGAGAAGAGAAGAGGAGCAAAAGATTTCTCCTGCTGGTGTTTGGGGAAGAGGAAGGTAAGGGGGAGGGAGTATAATGGGAACCTGCCAACCTGAGGCCAGTGTGCTCATGTAATTTTATTCTGCACCTTTAATGAGATCCTCAACACCAGAAGGCCTGAAAAAGACTTCACTCTGTGATCCGTTAGCAGATTCATGCACAATTTCTATAATTCAACACCCACAAGGGAATCACTTATTAACATCCTATAGTATGGGTATTAGCAAACACCTTCCACTTGAATCTTCACTCTCCAACCTAGAGAGAGCAGCCTTCTGGAGCCCACTTACAGGTGTGAGGCCCACTCCACCAGGTCCACACAGCAATGAGCTGGTCAGATACCACAGATTGGAACAACGGTCTGGGGTCCAAAGGGATGGAACACTCTCCAGCACAGGAGCAATATGGGAGCAAAGTACAGCTCTGTCTCAGCAGGGTAATCTCTGATAGAGACCTCATGACTTTCCCTGGGGCCTAACCTATTGCTGTCTCTTGTGGCCTACATGTCCCCCTGAACCAGATGGCACTGGCCAAACTCAAAGCCTTACTTTTCTATCAAAGGAACATCAGTACCAGACCCAGGGCTTGCATCTCCTGCCTAGGAGACAACATTACACTTATTGCCACCACTTAAGTGCCCTTAAAGGACATGAAAGGCTGGAATCAAATTAGTCTCATTGGGAAAGATACCGTAGTCCTCTCCAGATGCAAGGAATAGGCTTTTAGGGGCCTGTTTTCCTTCTCATTTCTGAGTCACATGTGACTCACACAAGGGTTGGGCAAAGGGACTTCACCTGCTGAATATCAGCTTCATAACAGACCTTGCTTGTATCATTCATGACTATATCCCCATACCTGTTATATGCCAGGTACTCAGCACATATTTTTTGCATAAACGACTGCATAGACAAAAGAACAAACAAATGAGCTAAGGAAAGGATTAACCTATGGCAATGTCAAGAACCAGTACAGCATATGGTAAAGAACATAGACACCAGCCAGCTTACAGGAGTTTGAATCCTGTTTAATCACTTACTTGCATGACTGTAGGCAAGTTACTAAATCTTTATGGCTCAGTTTTATTCCCTATTCAAACAAAAAGAATAAAAATACCAACCTCATGGGCTGCTATGATAAATTAGATAGCATGGGTAAGATTTTTGAGTAATAGTGTACCAGTATCACAGTAGAGATCTAAGGTGTCTGTTTTGGTTTGAGGTTTGTTTTGTTTATTTTTGAGACAGGTCTGACCATGTAGTACAGGCTGGCCTTGAATTCAATATGTAGCCCAGGCTGCCTCAAGCTCCTGGAAATCCTCCTGTCTCTGGCTCTCCAGTGCTAGGATTATAGGTGAGCACCATCATTCCAAGCCAGAATAATACATGCTTCATACAAATTATCTGTCAACATCATTACCTTTGTCAATAGTATACCATCATTATCTTTGTCAAGAATGTCTAAATAAAATACACTCTTATTTAGAAAATGATAATGAAGTTTCTACTAGACACAGAATCCTTTTATTCAACATTACTTATCTAGCTCTATCCTGGGCCTAGTATTCACCCAAATTCCTCCATGGGTGCAAGAAGAAAGCCAATGTTAAATCTGAAGCCTGAACAGAAAGAGAAACAGCCTTGTCCTCTATGAATACTACTTCTTGATAACTGCACAGCCAAGAGTTCAGCCATGAGTCCACCTTCCTCCGTCCTACTTAGTTCCTCATACAGCAAAAGACAAAAGCCATTGCTTCTTGCCCTATATATATAGCCAGCATGTTAAAAAAAAAAATAAGAAACTAATATACTTGACAGAAAAGCAAGGAAGGCCAATGAGTTGCTTTAGGACAAAAAAAAAATCTATCTGCCTTCTTAACCTGTGACTACTTTTTACATGCCCACGACATTATTAAGATCTGAGATTGATTTTGAGGCCGTGTAAAAGGCAATCCCACAAGTGTAGGGGCAAGAAAAATAACCCGCAATTCTCAAAGCACATGATGTACGCGTGAGGATTCATCACTTCATCACTATCTGGAATCTCAGGAGAACTGAGGCAGAGCCTACAGATAGGGCTGAGAGGTCAAAGAGTCTCTCAGTAAAACACAAAGTGATTATTCCTAGAGAGACCAGCGCCCTGCCATTATCTTCAGAGCAAGCCGGGCCCTTCAGAGTTGCAGCAGGAGTTGTAGGCACGGCCAAGCCAATCACCACAAACCTACTATCCGCAGGTTGAGGCAGGAGCTGACAGAGCCCCTGTCTGTCTGCCTGGTTCAGTTCCCCTTTCACTCTGCACTGACACTTGGCAGCCAGGAATTTGTCCTTCCAGGTTCCAGCTAAGGTACGCTTCTCTCTGAAGATGGCTAATTGCTGGTCACTCCATCCGTGAAGACAGCCAGCAAGAGCTCAGTACTATGCTCCTAAAGTGCCAGTTCTCACCCAGATCCTTTGCTTATTTGTCATCAAAACACTCCCAGGCACCTACAGTTCTGGGACAGGACACTCTCAGCCAGCTGCTGTATTCCAGGCCTTCTCAAAAGTCACAACATAGGCCTCTGCCAGACCAGACCAGCCGTTTGCAGCTCCGCTGGCAAAGCAGCTACCAGGAAGTTCAAGGGCAGAACACAGACTACTGGCGCACAAGGCTGCACACCTCCCTGTGTCCAGAAAAGCGAAGAGGCGTCACAGGACCCACAGCCCCACCACCCCGTCCCACCCTGGGCTCTAGGTGAAGTCCCCTCAGCTGTCCACATCCCACAGACTCCACGCACTGAAGAGACAGCAGGTCCTAGCTTCTTTGATGTCCCTACATCCTGCGAATCTAATGTAGGCCGTCAGGCACAGGGATGCCGGGGGGGGGGGGGGGGGGGGGGGGGGCACCTGAGGCCGCAGAGCCCAGGCTCCGGGGAGACCGGGCGCGAGCACGCGCGGGGAGGACGGGCCGGGGGCGGCTCGCCCACTGCTCCGAGCTGGAGGCTGCGAGCGGGCTGGACTGCGGCACGCGGGACCCGGCCCGGGGCGCAGGGCGCGGCCGAGGTCAGCTCGCGGGGTCCCCGCGCTCCCGGGCTCCCCGGGCCGGGCCAAGCCGCGGGCCGGGGCAGGGCGCGGCTGGGGCGCAGGGAGACCGCCGCCCGCGGGGCCAGGCCGCGCTCGCAGGCGCGGGCCGAGCTGGGCGAGGGCGCAGTGCGGCGGGACCCAGCTCCCCGCCACCGGGCGCGGGCGCGGGCGCGGGGCGGTGCGGGCTGCGTTACCTGAAGCGCCCGCCCGGCTGCCGGCAGGACACTTGAGAGCGCCCGGGCGCGGCGACAGCCCTGTAGCCCGGCCGGAAGCGCGCCCGGTGCCGCCGGTGCTCCGGGCAGCCCGGGGTCAGATGCCAGCCTGCCCGCGCCTCGCGTCGGGGGCCCGGCCGGCTCCAGCTCCGCTCCCTCCGGGCCAGGACTGTTCCCAGGTGGGAGGCTGGGGTCTCGCCTCCCAGGTGACTTACTCCCTGTGGTGGCACCAGCACCCGGCACCGGCACCGGCACCGGCCTGCAGCATCCGTTTCCTCCCAGGTGTCCCTCCCAGGTGTCCGTCCCTCCCCTCCCAACACACACACACACACACACACACACACACACACACACACACACACTCATTTGCCTACCCTTTGCTGCCTGGCTCCAGTGCCTGCCCCTCAAAGTCCCGAATGACCTCCTGGTTGCCAAAGCCAAAGGCGCCTCACAGCTACCCGCTCACTTCCCTGCTGACCACGCCTTCCTGCCTGGAGAGCTGGGAGTACCCGGTTATGAGGTTGGCACCCCTGCGCCTCTCTGTCTCCCTCCCTTCCTGACTCTCCTCCCACAGATAACCTGGGTGCTGGTGGCTTCTCAACCTCCAAGAGCCCAGAGCTTTTTGTCCTTCTGGTTTTCCCTGGGATCCCACTGTGCCAGGTCCCTAGCTACCTCTTGACCCTGCTGGCCCACTCGGGGCATCTCTGCACGCCCATGGTTTTAACTGCCTCCTCTCTGTTAATGACTCTGGAACCTCACTGGAATATAACCAGGCCCAAACTCCTAACTGGCTCCCAGAAGCAGCCAGAAACTGCCCCTGTATTTCCAATCTTCCTAAAGGATGCCGTCACACACCCACTCTGCAGCCCACATTCTGGAGCCAATGGTGTCCATTTTCAGTGAAATTGTCATCAGCTGTCCTTGACTTGGTGTCCAAGATGGTCACCAACTGGGAAAGAAAGTATTCATTAGTGACACCACTATATGGCCTCTATGCCTACAGCTTTCGCACAGTGGTCTCCTTTAGGACCAGGTTTTATTTCTCCTATCTCATGACCTAGTTCTTGCAATTTATAAATAATGGGATTGGATATGGTAGTACACACCTGTAACCCCAGCACTCAGAGTTTGAGGCCAGCCTGGGCAATATAATGGAGTTCAAGACCAGCCTAAGCAACATAGAAAGATCCTGTTTCAAAAACAAAACAAATCAACAAACAAAAAAGATAGTCCCCATGAGACTGTATGAATATGTATATAAAGTACACTACATATGTTTTTAAATGTTGTAATAAAGGTGAAGCAATAATTATATGTCTCTTTATTTCACTGAGTACCATATACACTACCTTTTTCCT